GTGATTGCGGTTCGACACTGCAGCCTTTCTCCAGTTAGCGGCTGGAGTCGAGGCTCGACTGCCACATTCGTGGCAACTCTCTTGAGCAGATTCGCTGTCACGTCACGAAGCTCGCTGTGACGGATTGTCGGGTAGCCGGCCAGTGCTGCAGGAAAGAGCGTGGGTCACATCGAATGGCTCACCACACACACACACACGCTGATGGTAGGCGGCTGGGCTGCCATCCATACCGCAGAGCTAGACCATCCCTGAACTCACTCTTGGATAGTGAGAACTCATGAGCCTTCAGTGGACGGCAGGTTAGCCAGCTGGATGCTCCAGATTCGCGGACCAGGTGGATAGTATAGTACGCTGCAGGCTTTCAGGAGCTGCGCTGTTGAACGACGCAGCAGCCTCCTGAATACGGCGGCGGGCTTCATTGCGTGCCCTGGTCTTCATGTGGCTGACGGTGGCCAGTGCATCACCAAGCTGTGGGCGCTGAGCGACGATGTTCTCAACGAGCGACGAGGTGACGGATCGAGAGGAACAGTACTGCGTTCCCAGTGCGGTCGGGTCAAGCACACCGAGCCCGCTTTCACCGCAGGGGAGAGAGAAGAAATGTCTGAGAGCGGCGTCAATAGGCTGTCCCGTCAAGTTTGGTAGAAGTTTGGTGTAGATGATATGCTCGACGGGTGCCATGGCTTCCGGGGCCTCCTTCTGAACCCGGCAGAGGAACGTCCACCTACTGGCGAGGCCACGCGTGAAGGCTGCATAATTATGCTGCTTGTGGTTGAGATAGGGCAAAGGAGGACAGCACATCGTACATGTACGCGGAGTTTTGCGAACTAACCGTCACTATCTCGTCCGCCCCGGGACACTTGATGAAGGCTGATTCACTCGCTGCATCTTCTGCGCTGCTATGACTGTCCTTTTTTGTATTATATTTTTTAAACTTTGTGTTACTTCGCAAAATCCAAACGGGAATTTCTTCCCAATGACAAGGTAGCGAATTAAGAGGGAAGAAAAAAAGAGAGAGAGAAAAAAGTGTGTATGCACTGGAAATGATAGTCAGCTAGCTGGAGATCAATAGTATGGATCCGCCATTGTCAAACATGGCATTTGCTACTGTTGCATGTATTTAGCAAGGAATACATCGGGCACAGTCGATGAGCAATTGCGTACGGTACTGCTGCAGCTTTGAAGGTCTCCAGCGTTGTGCTGGAGCGGACGTCTCCAGGTACCGTAGAATCCCGCGGATAAGCCCATGGGCTTATCTGTTTCACAAGAACATTTCGGTGGGCTTATAGTTATACGAGAACATGGGCTTATGCGCGGGCATGGGCTTATACGCCGACACCAAGTTGTGCTATTGAAAAGTATCAAGGAAGTGTGAAGTACATTGCTGAAAACCACTGTGCAATATGGCCAATAGTCCATAATTTATGGACTCCCAGTATGACCTAGGCCCATAGACAGGTTGCCAAAGTCGCCTCCGGAGATCCGTACCCGAGATGGCCCTGGAGACCACGGAGCTCGGAATCGATTTTTCGGGGCAAAGAGACACATGGCCATATGGATTGATGTGTTTGTGTGTTTTATTTTGCTTGTGCCATGACTTGCGTTTCCTTCCTTTTAGTGTATTGGTAGTTGTTTGTTGCTGCCGACTTCTAGTAGTAGTGTAGGAATAGAGTAGGACTTGTAGTAATAGCAACGATAGTGTGGATAGTCGCATGGATCTGCCGTTTGACTCTCTGAAACCTTTCAAAGGTTTGACGATTGGAACTATAAAGAGAATTTTTGGTAGTGGTGTAGAACGTTCAAGAGAGGGCAGAAGTTTGCAAAGGAGGGTTTTGTTCATGCTGTGACAATATCATTGTCTGAAGCGGATGATGATGATGATGCTGTAGTCAGTGCATTTTGTTGGGCAAGCCAGACGAAGGATAAAAAACACAAGGTGTTCCTGGCCATCAACTGCACTAACTTCGACCTGCTGCTTGGTTTCTTGGCATTGGCATTGGCTTTTTTGGGCTTAGACTTCGGACATTTTCTCAACGGTCTCTTTTCTGGAGCTTTCCTACACAAAGGATACGACTTGTGAGAGAAATATACCGGATATGGCTGGTCCTTGGATTTCTCCCCGTTGTGGAAATGCTTGTAGCACAAGCAAGTGTCCTTGGATGGCACCAGATCTTTTCTATTGATTCTTGTGAGCCAAATGGCTCGCACTGTCGGCTTACGAGGGAGAAAATGAAATTTGATCTTCTTTCCTTTCACTCTCCTTGTCGAGCAACCCACAGCACAACAGTGATCATTCTGACCCATCCCCGGTTGCTACAAATAACTGTACCAAAGGGAAGGAAACACACGTCTAAAGGTAAAAAGGAGAAACAACCTGTCGCTCTGCCCCGAAAAATCGATTCAAACATCCGTGTTCTCCAGAGCCACCTCGGGAACGGATCCCCGGAGGCGACTTTGGCAACCCGTCTATGCCTATGGGCTTGTACGATGAAGCTGTGTGATGAACAAACCCTGGGCTTATGCGCGGGCATGGGCTTATACGCGGGTGGGCTTAGGCTGCAACCACACTAGGTACAAAATTACGTACAAACGGCATTACAGTAGAAATCGTCATGCCGACGCGTGCGAAATGCAAAATGCGCTTTGTAGGTTTTCAGCAACTGGCGCACCCCTGTAGAAAGCCACGTTTGTCGTTTTCGTCGTTTTCGCGCTCCTTCTCCTGTGTACAACTTTGCTTTTGTACCGGGTCATCGTACATAGCATCAGCATCAGCATTGTTTTTGAATTAAATTATTTCCCGGTCTTTTCCAGCGCATGGCACACGCTTTGGTACGACAACGTCACGTGCTGGTCGCGTGAAAACGTCATCTATGCAGACCGAAAAGTGTAGTGTGGTTGCGTACCGACTTGCACTGAGATATGCATGAAAATTTGTACTGTGATTTTTACGTAGTGTGGTTGCGGCCTTCTACGGTAATCTGTTCCATTTACAATTACCTGTAGCGTTGAAGGCGTACCTCGACTTGCCAGCGTTTGTTCTTGCAACTGGAAGACTGAGTCCGTCCTACTGCTGAAGGCGGGTTTCTCTAGTCATTTGTGGAGCCATTAGTTCTCTGACGGACTGCGATGTCTCACCGTGTAGGCTCTTTCACACAAGAGCTAAGGTGTTCTGGTGGAAGTGCTCTGACACCTGGAAAACTCCCAGCGGCCGGGTCAGCAAAGGCTCAGCTGAGTGTCGCATGGGCACACCGTAGACAGTGCGGACTGCTCGATTCAGCAGAACCTGCAGCCTCCTGGTCTCAGCACTCGACAGTGAGCCACTGAAAGAGGGCGAGGCGTATATGGCGTCTGGCAGTACTACGGAGGTCACGTACCGTGCCCTTGCAGCTTCACTGAGGCAGCGGCGTGCGCGCCAGAGTGCTCCAATCTTCTGAGCCATCTTGGCTGCCACTTTATCAATGTGCTCCCTGAATGTCAAAGTGTTGTCCACGGTCACTCCGAGATACTAGCTATATCAGTTTGAGAAAGAACTTTGAAGAAGACGAATTCGAGTACAGTATACACTAATGTATTATGCCATGATTTCTACCCTGCTTTTCATTATGTCCGTCCAGAATACGCTACTCCTGTGTGGTGGTTTGGCCTGACTTGTCAGCAACTGGCAACATTCCGCATAGACATACATTGCGATGACTCCCTTGGTCGGATTCCATTGAGCAGCACGGTATCAAAATAACTAATCTCACACATACAGTCTCAGTCAGATCCTAAAAGCTGCAGTGCTTGTGTTTCTCAATACATTATTGTATAGCCGGTGGTAACGCGGTAGGCCTTGACGGATTATGCTAGCATAATTTTTCGCATAATTCCTACCAAAATCGAATAATCGCATAATTCGAGGCTAATTGCATCCGAATCGCTAAAATTGGAATAATCCGCCTTTTCGCATCAAATTCCATACAGTTGTACAATGTTCTACAAGTACAAGACTTAGTACAAGTAGATGCACCAGGAAGTCGGAGGTTTACGACTCCCTTGATAATAATTATGTCCAGTCCACTACAATCAGTGACGTTCGTAGCTAGGTCGGACGGTGCGTTGACCCCGTTGAACTAACTTTGGCTACTGCAGTACAACGCCCTCTACAAAAAACTACCCTGTTATTTTGCACAGAACCATCATGTACATTAGCAGCATATGTGAGCATAATGCGGCAAAATATGATAACTTTTAGCATAAAAATAGCATAATTCGGGAATTTTTTTCAGCAATGCGAAAAGCATAATTTCACGAAAATATTAGCATAATCCGTCAAGGCCTATAACACGGACGTGCGACCTTTAGTTTTTCTCTTTTTTTAAGATAGGCAGGCAGATAGAAAGAACACACAACGACACACGCGCGCACACGAACACACACCTTTTGACGCCCATCGCCAGAGGCGACGATAGCGATGCTACAGCGGAAGCCATAGTAAATTGTGATGGGATTCATTGCACCATTCAACAGCTTGCAAGGCTGAAGAATTGACTGCCATTATTCAGCCACACCTATACCTTTTGACGCCCATCGCCCGGGGCGATGATAGCGATGCTACAGCAGAAGCCATAGCAACTTGTGCTGCGATGGCACCATTCAACAGCTTGAAAGGCTGAAGAATTGACCGCCACTCCTCAACCTGGTCTACACCACACACTACACCTATTTGTAGTGGCTTTTCTGGCCAATGAATCCCTGGTTTTTGGTCTTTTTCATTTTTTTTTCCCGCACGCACATCACACCACATACTCCGGCGTGCACTGGCTGTTGGTACCCACCCAGGAGAATGAAAGAAAGGACAGGAGCCTGAGAAAGAGAAGAAAGATATACGAGTGACCATAATCGTCGGGAATCGAACCCGCAACCTCTGGATAGGAAATCGCTGCACATGCCACTGCACCCCCCCCCCCCCCCCCCCCACACACACACACATCACACACACACAAACACACACACAAACAAAGTGGGAGAGAGTGTTCTGCGACACGAGACGCTTGCAGGAATTAGCGGAGCTGACTATGCTCCACGTGGCACCGGCTAATGATAAGAAAAGAATATGTCACATGGCATTCAGCATTCTTGGCAGGAACATTTTAACTGTACCGGACAGCTAGAACAGATTCCCAACGTTGAAGTTAGAGTAAAAAATCTACACTATGAATTGGAACTAGAGACATTGAGAGGTCTACTCTAATGACAGCAGTACGTAACCTGCCGGTGCTACTCACGTTGTCCACTAACTTACTACATGCAGTGTTACACAACGGGATGCACGGGGGTCAAAAGGAAATAGCATGAGCAGGAGCATGGGTGAAATGACTTCCAACGCGGGCAAACATTCAGGCCAGCAGACATGCCTTGGTAAACCGACACGGTCCGTATGTACACAATCACGCAAATCACAGGTTGACAAAAGTCAGAAGCGCAACACTGGCTGCAGGTGTCATCGGCTTTCGGAGCGGTGATGCAAGCAAAACCAAAGCCTTGGAGAGTGCTGCATGATGGAATCATCTTCCAGCTGACTACATTCTCTCATTTGCTTTTGCGCATGCAAAACTACTGTTGCTGCTGCTGCTACACAAATTCAACAGCAAAGCAAACCTCAAACCCCATGCAGATGTCCTCGTGTCCAGGTGGGCGGGTGGGTGCCTTTACAGCAACATGCAGAATCTTTTCGGCTTGGCCTTCGCTTTCGTGTTGCCCTTGTTTTGCTTCTGTGAACAGCAGAGAAGATACAAATACGTTCATCATCAGCCGACACCGCTCCAGAGCAGCAGTAGTAGTGACCATGGTATGGAGATACCATAGCCCAAAGAAAGTGCTTCTTGGATCGTAATGAATAAATGATGGGACTGGATGTGTGCATGCATGCCGATGCGAGTGCATACAGGTAGGTGCATGTGAGTGTACGTAGGTGGGTGCGTCTTTCCCATCAGTCAGCATGATGTACGTGCGCCGACCTGGGGGCATAACGGAGGCTAACATTTCGTCTCCAGATGTCAAGTACAAAATGAATGCAGTGTAGTGTACTTTAGGGTGCTCAGACATAACATCAGCATATTAATTTAGGAAATTGAACACAGCAAAATGGTCACTGGCAGTAGGAAATCAAGGTGAGAGAAATACAGGCGTAAGTACAATGGCCACTCACATATTTCCGAATTTCTCTCACTAGTCCAAAGAAGGCATCGTCCTGAGACAAGACGACACAGACAGACACAGAACAGCAGACTGGCGTTAGTGACCCGCTACCCGACTTTTCATCATGGGTCGCCAAACAGTAAGTGAAGAAGCAGCAACATGCGGCGCGTACACGAATGATGATTCAGTCTAAATTGAAAGAGTAGCAGTTATGTAGAGCGCAACCTCTGTCAACTGATCCCTGCGCCGGTAAGAGCAGAGCTTACGAATGTTGAAGCAGGACACTGTTGAACATCATATATAACTGTATGCTCATATGGGCTGCTGCTGCTGCTGCTGCTGCACAGAGCTCATTTTGAACCGGGATCTTTACTACTAGTAAGTTATGTTTATAGTGCACAGCAAGAGCACACCGACTGGACAACAGGTATGCCACAGCACAATACACATAGAGACACCAAACACATGTCCGCCTCCACATTTCATTAGTAGCCACATTTCATTAGTGGTACCACTTTGTCACGGCAATCCATTGAACTCCTTCATAACCGTAGCCGGAATATAGCAGGCTTGATGAGTCTGATGTCAAGGGAATTTCTGCAAGACTAGGATTTCTCCTCCTTGCCAACGTCGTCGACACTAAGTCTAAGCATAGTGTCTACAGTACACACTCACCACTCCTTGCCGAGTCTTAGCTGACGTCTCAACGAATGGGACATTATAGGATTTAGCTCGCTGCTGAGCTCGCTCCAGCTCCACATCACGGCGCAGATCAGCCTTGTTGCCTACAACTGATGTGTGTTGGTTAAGCACAAGATTAAACAATCACAGAAAGAACTGGTTGATGACGCCGTCACGTGCCAAAATGGGCATCTCGGTTTCATTCTGGTGCTATGGCTTCCAAGCAGCAGCCAATGAAAGCAAGCGCACCGTGCACAGGTTACAGGGCCACCACCACCACAACTAGCTATGGTGCTGCATCACACATATTAGCATGGTTTCAAATAAATATAGAGATAGGTTTGAGGTTGTACTAGTATGACCAACTAGCCCAAAGAAGATGAGAAGAATATTACTACTGTCTCCCTTTCTGTTCGACCCTCTTTGAGGCTGTATATTGTACTTTCCAGGAAACAAACTAACATAAAAAAATAAATAAAAACAACCCTGTGAACACGTACACACTGTATCTCGTGCCTACTTAGTACACCTCGTGCACACACCCGGTGAATATACCTCGTGCATACATCTCGTGCATACACCTTGTGCACACACCTCATGCATACACCTCGTACATACACCTCGTGCACACACCCGGTGAATACACCCCATGCATACATTGATCAGACTTACGCATCATTGGTACACCTTCTGACTCTGTGACATCCTTGACACGAAGAATCTGAGTGAGCAACATCACAAGCAATGCCCACCACAAAACACAAAGTGTTCAAGAATGCAAACTGGGCACTAATATTAGCAATAGCACCTAGAGATTTACAATACTATAAAAAAGGGTTGTTTACATGAGTCCATACGTATTATGCAATCAACAAAACCCAATCAACGGACCCCTCTTGCCATCTACCTTGAAAATGCTTTCCTCCTCTTCCCCCTCTCCCCTGTGGTTGCTGCCGATGGCGAGGTACATGGTCTCCAGACTAGGTATAAGGGCCATGGTAGGTGTTACCCGGACCTAGTCCCGTGACCTACTTTCCATTACACTCAAGGACAAGTGTCTGCATTCCTCACAGAGGGCGTCGCAAGTAAGGGTAAGTACGGCCAGGTAACAGGCATCGACTTAGCCGTGGACATCAACGATGTCGTGAAGTACGTGTGGCGTTTCACACTGTATGGCATTGCCTGCTCACCTCATACAAAGATATCGTGGAATGCCTACAGCCCCCATTCTGGCAGTCGCGAAAGGAAATGAGTGAAGGCGATCGTCCAAATTCGGCCTTATGGTGAATAAAATCAAGGAAGTCGTGGCAACGTAGCCTCGAGGAGATGAAAAATGTCGGATGTGTTGCAGGGTGACACACTTGCCAACAATTTTTAATTCTCGTGCTCATTTCAACACATGCCTGAGGCTCGAAGTAAAGGGCACATTTTAATAAGTCTGGCCAAGTATACTCGCACTGCTATCCATGCATTCCTACGGTGTACTATTTATGTGTATACAAATTACGTGTCATAAAGTAGCCATGCTACACTAGTAGCTGTTTGTAGCTCCTGCTACGCATGGAGGAAAACCCCACGACTGGATGTAGGTCGGCCAGGGCACTGAAAACGGCCAGAAAACAAAATAGTACACTGTTGGCAGGCAGCAGGTCACGGTGCGGCTCACTAACCTGATCTCGGTAGGTTGAGATGTCTTCGAAAGACTTGTCATTGTTGATCGCGTACACCAGCAAGAAGCCCTCTCCCGTGCGCATGTACTGATCTCTCATAGCACTGCAACAACACACACACACAAAGGCACGCATAGTCACGTACAGGCACACATGCACACACAAACTATTGATGTTTCACTGGAGGAGATTGCAATTTTCATACAAACCTCTTGGCGGGTTGCCGCGCATATTAGACCTAAAGCACCCCAATCCCTCGACTCTCTGGCTGATAGAGCATAGTAATGAAAGCTCTGTGTAAGCAATCCTTCGCCACTTTCTAACAGCTTGAACTCCTTCATGATCACGAAGAGAGGTATTTTTAGAGTATTTGTGTCTGTATTGTACATGTGCATGCATGTGTGCGTGCATGCGGAGCCTTGTATGTGTGTGTGTGTGTGTGTGTGTGTGTGTGTGTGTGTGTGTGTGTGTGTGTGTACGTGCGTGTGTGCATGTGTGTGTGTGTGTGTGTGTGTGTGTGTGTGTGTGTGTGTGTGTGTATGTGCATGTGTGTGAGTGTGTGTGTGCATGTGTGTGCATGTGTGTGTGTGCGCGCCGCATGTGTGCGTGTGCGTGCGTATGTCTTACCTGTACTCCTCCTGCCCTGCCGTATCGAGAATGTCCTGGACATGTCGCAAACAATACAAAACACGATTCACAGGAACATAAAACGCCGTTAGTTCTGGAGTACAGAACACAATGATGTCATTATTCATGTATGTGCCCCTGTGTGAAGGACTATACATAACACAAGTGATATCATTTTCATGGATGTGCCCCTGTGCCCTGTGAAGGACTGTAGAAGTACAATGTACTGGGTAATCATTTATACCTTTCTCATCATAACACCAGTACAGTGAGACTGATATTCCAAGGCTGCCGGGGACGTAGCTTGCCACTTTCACCCTTTCGTGCTGCCAGTTGATTTCCGACACCTCTGTGACATACGCACACATACAGGCTCGGTGCAGGCCCAGCAGTGGCTGACATAGCCCGAGATGTTGCGTGGGTCTACGTGACACATACTTTTGTACTAACCGAATTTTAACGGGGGGGGGGGAGGGGGGACCTGTACTGAGTGTAGACCAACAGTGCATGCCTCGACTTGATGATGCACGAGCTAATACTAAATGTAGATCAACAGTACATACTTACCAGTAGACATGTTTCACCGTCAATGACCACTTGCTTGCGATAGGAATCCTCTGTGAATGGGAAACGGCAAACGTGGAAATAGGGACTCACTGATTGTGAATCGGTCGACCAACACCTTCTATCAGCATTTCTTGCTTGTCATTTTAGGTGCTTTGTTGTTGTTGTTCTTTTTATTTGAATTCGCAATACCAAACGGGCAATAAGCCCAATTACATGGAAGCGAATATATGCTTTCATTGAACTGTCATTGGGTCTTGAAGGTCCTCCACCTCCGCTTCCTCTAAGTGGTTTCTGCAATCTCACGGGGGTAAGAGGTCTTCTTTTATCTCAGCTTGGTTTTTTAGTCTATAAAAGCACCAGGAACATGTCAGGATTCTGCATTTCGTTCTCATGTTGTTCGGATCATAACTTCAATTCTACTCACTCCATCTTCACACTATGGGGCTTCCTAAACAAAGGTTTCCGCGAACGGAAAAGAACGAGAGTAAGCACGATGGGTAGGACAGCGTATCTGCAGCGCCGGTAAGAAAAAATGCTCCACGCAAGTTAGTGACCTACACAGTCCTGGGCTCGCAGGTCTGGGACTGGACAGCACCCAGCATGTACGTTGCTCATGCCGTTGGATTTCATCGAGCAGCCCAGCAACTGCCCTGTACAATCGTCTAGAGGTCCGTATGGTTGGGACGAGAGCTCCCAGGGGTTTCTCCACTCGCCATCAACTGAGCTGAGAGCTCGTTTTTAGTTTTTACTGCTTTTTGTGCTCACTGATGGATGCAGCGAATGGAATTTTCGGTCTTTGACCACTTGGGGGGTGTGTCGGATCTATTGATCCTACACCGGCTTAGGAGCTGCATCTGCACCTTGATCCTTGAGGGTGGTGGCGTTCCTACGCATGCGGAAAACTCAGTCTGAGTGCGTCTCACGCGAACCGTCATTTTTGTTGTTGCTCAATAAAAGATATCCAGAAACCTGGGCATGTAGCATGAAGCCACCTCAGCATGGGATATGAAATTGGTCGTTGGCAGACTCATATCAAACTCTTGGAAGGTAATAAATCTCTAGGAGACCTAGTAAAAGCTTACCAATAGTTGGATCGTATTCCTCGACGAAACTATACAAAACAGGAAAACACATACAAATTAAACCATGCACCAGCTTTTCAACAATGAATAACAAAGCCACAAACAAATTAAACCATGCACCAGCTTTTCAACAATGAATAACAAAGCCACAAACAAATTAAACCATGCACCAGCTTTTCAACAATGAATAACAAAGCCACAAACAAATTAAACCATGCACCAGATTTTCAACAATGAATAACAAAGCCACAAACAAATTAAACCATGCACCAGATTTTCAACAATGAATAACAAAGCCACATACAAATTAAACCATGCACCAGCTTTTCAACAATCAATAACAAAGCCACATACAAATTAAACCATGCACCAGCTTTTCAACAATGAATAACAAAGCCACAAACAAATTAAACCATGCACCAGCTTTTCAACAATGAATAACAAAGCCACATACAAATTAAACCATGCACCAGCTTTTCAACAATGAATAACAAAGCCACATACAAATTAAACCGTGCACCAGATTTTCAACAATGAATAACAAAGCCACAAACAAATTAAACCGTGCACCAGATTTTCAACAATGAATAACAAAGCCACAAACAAATTAAACCGTGCACCAGATTTTCAACAATGAATAACAAAGCCACAAACAAATTAAACCATGCACCAGATTTTCAACAATGAATAACAAAGCCACATACAAATTAAACCATGCACCAGATTTTCAACAATGAATAACAAAGCCACATACAAATTAAACCATGCACCAGCTTTTCAACAATGAATAACAAAGCCACAAACAAATTAAACCATGCACCAGCTTTTCAACAATCAATAACAAAGCCACATACAAATTAAACCATGCACCAGCTTTTCAACAATGAATAACAAAGCCACATACAAATTAAACCATGCACCAGATTTTCAACAATGAATAACAAAGCCACATACAAATTAAACCATGCACCAGCTTTTCAACAATCAATAACAAAGCCACATACAAATTAAACCATGCACCAGCTTTTCAACAATGAATAACAAAGCCACATACAAATTAAACCATGCACCAGCTTTTCAACAATCAATAACAAAGCCACATACAAATTAAACCATGCACCAGCTTTTCAACAATGAATAACAAAGCCACATACAAATTAAACCATGCACCAGCTTTTCAACAATGAATAACAAAGCCACAAACAAATTAAACCATGCACCAGCTTTTCAACAATGAATAACAAAGCCACATACAAATTAAACCATGCACCAGCTTTTCAACAATGAATAACAAAGCCACAAACAAATTAAACCATGCACCAGCTTTTCAACAATGAATAACAAAGCCACATACAAATTAAACCATGCACCAGCTTTTCAACAATGAATAACAAAGCCACATACAAACTTCCAAACCACCACGTGGAAGAACCGACTCCCACATTATCATGAATCAGCATTATTTTAAAACCAGTACAACACGCAGCAAGAGAGCTTTTTCAAGGTGAGACCAACGGTCACTTTGTGGGATCACGTGCGAGAAATTTATTAATTGCTGGTGAACAGGTGAAGCCCAGTTCTCATTCAGTTGTACGGGAATGAACGCGTGGAGGTGAAACAAGCACTAGAATGGCGCTCAATTTCATGTCCAACACTTGTGTTGAGTCAGAGCAGCTGCTGGGAAACCCTTCCATGGCTTGGGCGAAAAAGAACAAGCTTTAGAATCGCTCGAAGCAATGGTGGAAAGGAACCTGTCACATTTCGTAAACTTTTCAATGTGCGACCTGTTCACCACAATCTCGGGGTGAGCGCCGCATAGCACGTCCTTGAAAAAGCTCTATAGCAGGTGAACGGTCGGAAATTCAAGCACAGGATTAACCCAATTGCTGCGTAGACTGTGAGATGAGAGCTGCATGCAATGACCATGAACCGTAGTCAGTTACCCTTTGCTAGCCTAGCATATCTCCTTGAGGAGCAGCACACCGTCATCAGCCCGACACATTTGTCTTCAAGCACAACCCTACCCCCTGTAACGGAGCACGAGTCAGTCGCGTTTTTTGGGCGTCCCGAGGCCAGAAGAAGGTATCCAAGGCGGCACACGGGTCTGAGTCCAGAGATGGGCAATGTGGTACCCCACAGCACGTGAGGAATGTGATATACCCTATGCTAACATAAGGGCTGTATTGCATGAGCAACCTGATACTCGACCAAACGCTTTTCTTGCAGCCTAGTAACGCAAATTTCTAGCTGACCTGAGCTGGGCACCATGCATGAATGCTGTGTGGCCTTGTGTGTGATTGCATGTTGGCATAGAAACTTTGGAAAGCCCAAGCTGGTTTCATGAGAGGGATGGATGCACGGAGTACTTTGTTACTGGCTTTTAAAACGTAACGCCCGGCAGCTGCAGCATCTAGGGAAACGGCGGCGCTGGAACTTGAACTGGACTGACTTGAAATGACGTGGGTTTCGCTGCTGAGCTGCCCGTTCGAGTCGCCCTTTGGTGAGACTGATATTTTTAGGATGCTTGCATATGTCATTGATAGTGTGGGCGGCGGTTGGCCAGTCAGTAGGTCGAGGCAGCGGCCATGATCGCGACTCTAGAGTTTTATAGACCATGGAATCTGGGGTCGAAACACACGTCATACCGGGTACTGCAAGTACGAGTCGTACTATGGTCCCGTGCCGTCTCCCCGGATGCTACGACTCTCTGGTCTACACACTACTGTCACATGTTGTGTCTTTTCAACCGTCCAAGAACCATGCCGATGTGTGTTTTTCAACTGCACGGTTTGAGTGTCTGCATGGCCATATGGTTGTATAACATTACACAGATACAGTACTGGCCCCATCTTGACAGCCATGTGAATGCATATTGCTGGAGTATCAGAACGATTGGGGTTGTCAGAACTAACCAGACCACCCCTTCACAAGACAGTGTGCATCCAAAGGTGTGTGTGTGTGTGTGTTTGCGTGTGTGTGTGTGTGTGTTTGTGCGTGTGTGTGTGTGTTTGTGCGTGTGTGTGTGTGCATGGGTGTGTGTGTTCGAATACCAGGGTTAGGTTAGGACTGTGCTAATCACACTTCACAGGTTCATCAGGCATAAAGCTAGGAGAGTACAACAAACATTGTACATGTACAGTCCAATGTCACTTATCCGGTCGCCAGTTATCCGAGCACGTCGGTTATCCGACAAGCCCGGGAGTGGTAATTTAATGACTCTCAACAGTACAATTCTTTAAAAAAACTTTTTTTGTATATTATACGGTGTAATATGCATTTACTTGAAGTAGATGTGGTCAAGTATGTTAACGTGTACATGGAGCAATTCATGAATATGCATGAATATATTTGGGTATTGTGTACATAAATCAGTGAAATCCAGTCATATATGCACATAAAAAATTATATCAGTTATCCAACAAATTCAGTTATCCAACATGCCTGATTCCCGAAGTGGTCGGATAAGTGACATTCGACTGTACTGGCACAATACTCCGCGACTGGTACTACTGTAGCGGACATGGAAGTCCAGTCGATTGACCGGGGTCGGCGCCCTCAGTGCGTACAGAATGCTGCGTGCAGTGCACATGTTGATCCGATGCGACTAGCGCGCTGCATGCAGCGCATACTGAGTAAAATGCATGTGTGTTCCGCTTATCCACGGCTGCATGGGCAGCACCCTGGGGCCGCTAGACGTGCGACCGGATTTCCATGTCCACAACAGTAGTATTGTACAAATCCAAAAGTCTTCTTAGTGGACACGCAGCTTCATGCTTCTCTCATTATTATTATTATTATTAATTCAACATCTCCTAGCATTTAATGGTATCAAAGAATGATTCGCAAAACAGTGGAAGGAACAGATCATCAATCCTAGAGGTAAGTGGCCAGGTTCTGGAAACGAACACGGGCTCGTGTGACCCACATAGAGTAGGCACACTGCAAAAGAGCGCCGGTGAAACATCATTCGTTCCCAGATTTAGCAACACGCTGCCATTAGTAACGCACTCGCCAAGCGCAACAACCACTTGAGCCAGACTGGCCAGTCACTAGCGGGGATAAATACAACAATGCTACGCACAACGCACTGCAAAGTACAATGGCGCGGAACACTAGTAACCCACTTTTGTTTCAGTGCAAAGAGCACCTATCTAATTTCGGCGAAAAGGTAATTCCTCCGGACGACCGATTACATGTAGCTTACTGGTTCTGTATGAGCTGGATGGTGAGTGCGCTCTTTCCGACACCACCCGCTAGAAGAGCAGAACACAGGTACAGAACGAAACAAGCAGCAGAACATAATGGTCCAACGATCTAGCTTGTAGCTGTCTTCTAATGAATGGCATAGAACACGGCGTAGAGTAGTCGATTGTAGTGTTCTCTAGTCTAAACGTAGACCCGGGTGCTCGAATCAGAAACGATTTGACAGGTGTGCAATTTCTCATCTGTAAATCTCAACAATGTCAGAATATACTTTTGGAGAGGCGATGGAACAGGGAAGAGAGTCTGGCTTGACCCACCCAGCAGGAATTCAGAACCTGGGTGCGCTACAACACAAGCTACAGTACGCAGTAAAATTGTCGTATTTCCTTCGGATTTTTTATTTGAAAATTGGGTGCTCGAATCAGAAACAGCGAACTCGTCAGATCGTCTCCGATTCAAGCACACGGGTCTGCCATCGTCTACGCTTGGTGTGGCAGTTGAGGGCAGGGAGTAATAACTTACTACTTCATTTTTGAGAGCAAGATGGTCAGTGGAGCCGCAGATTCAGCAGGTCTTTGGCAGCACCGTACAGGAGACCCATATCCTCGAATCAAGGACCCAGCAAAAAGTGGGTCGCGAGTATTTCAAAAAGTGTTTACCGGGCAGCGCTGAAATTTGGCATACCGTTAGCAGGCCGTATGTTGATGGTATTTGTGAAAATTAAACGAAATCGGAACAAGTTTAGGTACAATTTCAGGGTGTTTCTGTTTTGGTACCCTGTGTCTCATTCGAGCACCCGGGTCTACTGTCTATGTGACACACTGGCGCGCGGGGTCCGTGTGTGCCCTAGCAACAAAATAAGAAGTACCAAGCTCGTCTACATGCACCAACCATTCAAAAACAGGACAGCAAGGAAAGAAGGCCAGAACCAGGAGACCATACTACATTATCTGTATCCTGGTCCTACGAATAGAATCAGTGCGAGAGCAGGCGGGCACCACTGATACAGCGATAAGCAGGAGCGTACAATCGTGTTGGAATACAATGATTGGAGATCTACAATAGGCTACAGGAACACAACTGTTACTTCATGACAGCAATGTCCAGAGAACGCTGACCATCGGTGACGCTCCCCAGCGCAAACAGACATGGATATGGCGCTACACTACAATCACAGCCTCTCGGTGTAAAAACAAACAAACCAGCTAACGATGACTAGCAACCCAGGAACGAACCACCTACCTCCCACAACTACCAACTTGTACTCCGTCATGGCTGCAGACGAATTACAAGGCCAAACGCGAATGGAATAGTCGTGGCCAGTGACACGATACTCCCCTCTGCTTCAGCGCCAAGCCTTTTTTCTTTGCTCTCCCTCGTGCTGTGCCCTAAACTGGAGCGACACGGGGTGGCTCTGCAACAGATGTGTTGCGGAACGGTGGGTCACTACGATCTCACACAACTAACTGTTACTTACAAGCACGCGTAGGCAAAGAACAAAATATTTCCGCAGTATTTACACCGTTTTCGCGTTGATCATTCTATGGTGAACCAAATGCACGACTAGCCACTGGACTAGACTGTGTCTGATATCAGTGCACCAACTGCTACCAATACAAGTAAGCAAGCCAGGCGAGGATGATCATGATGATTATGATTGCTCCGGTTGGAATGTTGTACGGTTTACGGCCATACCGGTACCTCTCGTACCCGCGCCGAGCCTACTGCACTCTGCATGCAGTGCATGCTGGCTAGCATGGGATGGGATGGGGGCATGGTCCATGGATCCAGCTAGCTCGGCCTCGCGTTTGACACAGCATGCATGCAGTAGATCTACGATGAGGTCTACAGACTGTCAGTCAGTGACAGTGTATCAGTGACAGTCTATTATTTACGCCTCTACAGCATACACTCCTAGTCCTACTACAAGTACAAGCCATGGCATAAGCAGCATCGAGCATACAGCTGTGTGTGACATGTGCTTGATGCTGATTGCTGAATCTTTGCTGATACATGTATCGGAATAGCGGATGACGTACCTCTGGTATTGACTGTACAGTTCAGATCAGAGGCAGAGCTAGAGGTACGTCATCCGCTATTCCGATATTCGGAGCGGCTACGACTACCATGACTACTGTCGACATGTCTACGTCTGTACAAGTAAGTGTATGACTAGACTGTCATGTACGAGTACTACATGTACTACTAGTACTAGTACTACTACTACTAGTCAGGGAGCCGACCTTCAAAAAAGTGGCGCTCCAGGTCGGGCGAGATGGAGTACAAGATCTACAGACAGTCATGTACAGGTATTACAGTATCATTAGTCATCACCTGATTACCTGATTACCTGATTACTGGCTTGACTCCTCTAGAGTCCTCTGTCAGTGTCAGATCCTTTTTCTTTCGTATCTGCAGCCTCAACAAATTCCTTTCCTTTCTTATTCATTTCAAATTGTGACCTGTCGCATATGCATTCGCCTTGGCCTAGCTCCCGTTTATTGTGCGAAAATAAACCAACCAACCACATCATACGTATCTAATCATTGGCTGAGTACGAGGTCAATATGAAATAAAAGCCGAGTAAAAGACCGAGGCGAAGCCGAGGTCTTTTACGAGGTCTTTTATTTCCTATACTGACCAAGTACGAAGTCAATATTAGATTTATCACGACTGACCAAAGCATGTGTTCAATCGCTAAAAAGGAGTCAAATATAAGCGGTCAATATAGCCCTAAGGAGTGAAATATGCAGGAATATTTGACTGCTTAGGCATGGCAAAAATCTATGTAAGTCAATACTAAGGGAGTGATAATGTAGTGTAGTATAATGTAGAGGAGACGGCTCGATACCGGAACGTTTTGACAGCCAAATTTGTATAGACCCAAAACGATCATCAACGTTGATTTTTCACTCGAAATATGTTTGTGGAAGGAAACTGGCATGTTGAAGTTTGCTCTGGGGCCAGAGTCAATCGAACTGAGCCACTCCTTTGTGTTGACCCATTGCCTCCAAGTTGCCCAATTTTTCGCTTCAAAAAAGTTCAAATCAGAGGTGGCTCCAAACCGGACACGTTTTAGAGTGCCCGTCAAATTCACTCTGGGTCTGAAATTAGGTAATTGCTATCGCTCCACGACGGCCAGTACAGAGTAACAATAAGCCTTGTGTGTGCTTCCATTAGTTTTGATTGGTATGCGGTGCTTTATTGTCGAGAGGCGAGCCGCTGTTTACCTGCGACAAGAAGTTGATTTTTCGAAAGTCGTAAAACTCAAGTCGCAGTGCGAAGCAACACGTCAAAAACTCACCTGCTTGATATGGCGCTTCTGGTCATCGCAGAGCCATGAAATTTTGGCTCGGAGTATAACACATCGTAGTCTCACTGTGACATATGTTTTCTAATCAAAATACCAAGAGAGAAAGTGAATATTGAGTCCGTTCCGGTTTGCAACCTATTTCCTATTTGAAACCGTCGCCTCTACGGCACTGCTAAATCAGTCCATGCGCACCAACACAGATCAGTGGCATTGTTTCAGTGTTTGTCAAACTCAGTAATGTTATAGTACAGCCATGTACTTTGTCACAAAGTAATTAGATAGTTTGTGCATGTGCTACGCGTCACGTGTAGTTGCTCGTGCTTTTTGGCACCAGTACAAGTCTAAAGGGTGAAGTACTAAGTTGAAGTAGTTTGGGGGTACTGTAAAACATGTAATCATCGGTGTAACTTTAATTTCGGTGATTTCGGTAGAGAAAACAGGCACCTAAATTTAAATTACACCTAAAAGGCACTAGAATATGCACTGTATGTGAAGGGAACGCTGGTCACCTAATTCTAAATCACACCTAAAACCTGGCAGGTCCCTAGCACCTAAATTCTAATGCACCTAAAATTACATGTTTTACAGTAGTTATGATTTCTTTCACAGCATGGAGTAAGTATTAAAATACATGTACAGTGTAGTTCATTTATAGTTCATTTATAGTTCATTAAATAGTTCATTAAATAGTTCATTACTTCATATCAGTACAATCTGTACAATACAGACTCAGTGAACCTTCCATCGCGTGGGGCAAAATGAACCGGCCTAGACAGAATGAATCATAAGGACACACACACACACACACACACACACACACACACACACACACACACACACACACACACACACACACACGCGAGCGCACAGGGAAGGGAACTGGTGCTTGACCAGAAAAGACAGTGCAGGATTTGCTGACTGCGGAGTAGTGCTAGCTGTTGAGCTGACAGGAGGCGTTGTCAGAAATGCACTATTACAAAGCTGCAAAGCTAGCCTATTATTAACAGTGAGTAATGACAGAATCGATACAGTCATGTAAGTATTATTTATTATTATGCATTGATCAGTCTGACTGAAACGAAATGACAGCCTGACAGAGAACAGTACTAGTAGTAGTACTCATACCTCGTCCTTACGATTATGCCAGACATTACACGTTTCATACACGGGATGCTTGGGAGTGCCAACGACTTACATGTCATTGTACAGTCATACAATACATTTGCACGTAAAAGTAAAGTAAGTCCGCCTTACAACCGACTATACAATTGTGTAGAGAACCACAACCAGCTTAGGACGTAACAAACATACGGTTTCGCTCGTGCCAGGCCACCACCATGCCTGCAGCAGGGTGCACCGGTGGCAGATGCAGCGCCAAACGCCTAGTAACGGCGAGGGTGAGGTGGTAACTCTCCTGACAAGGGGGCGAACCTCGTTTAGCTGCATCCATGTTACCCTCACTCCGAGTAATGAGTACCCAGTTGCGTGGGTACGTACCCAACAAAAAGTGGTTGCTGCCTTTCTCGGTGCTGTACTAGTACCATGCCATACTATACTGCATATCCCGTGAAGATTGGACTTTTCCTTCTTTTTTTACCACGGAACCATCAGATGCTGCACAGCGGGGGCGGTGGCATGTTGGATGGAAGTGGGGGCGGGGCAGAAGTAGGCTTTGGCGGATAATGCTCGAAAAGGTGGCAGATTATGCTCGAAAAGCAGTGAAATTGGCAGAACCATACAAACCTTATGGCGGGCAATTCCTCGAATTCTGCTCCATTTCTTTATCCACATACCAAACATGCATGAAACTTACCAGAAAAGGTACCGAATTCTGCCAATTTTCTGCCGGCATTATCCACATAATTATGCCTAGGCAAAAGTAACTCCTCCGACCAAGGGTCTCGGATTCATTGTTATTCATGTGCGCCGGTAAAGAAGGAGAAAGGAACATGTGCATCCGATAGGAAACCACCTTCTAAAAACGATCCTAGAGAGAAAAAAGTGGAGATTGAGATAGGAGTCATAGGCCTACTATACTAGTCTATAGGGCATAACAATGTTCGCAAGGCCAAACGGGCAATGGTGCCCAATTCTATGGAAGCGAATTTCAATGGGGAGAGAGCTACGGGGAGAGAGAGAGCTACGGGGAGAGAGAGAGAGAGAGAGAGAGAGAGAGAGAGAGAGAGAGAGAGAGAGAGAGAGAGAGAGAGAGAGAGAGAGAGAGAGAGAGAGAGAGAGAGAGAGAGAGAGAGAGAGAGAGAGAAGGGGAGAGAGATAGCGAGACACAGAGAGGGAAGCAGTGAGGTTAGGGGCATCGGAGGGTGGTTAGCGCATCAACGTGTGGTTGGGGGGAGCAGCGAAGAACAAATTGCTCTGTAATTTAGTCTGATAAGCGATTCTGCAGCGTCAACAGAGCGATTTTGCAGTGTCAACAGAGCAATAGTAAAAGCACAGTGGAAATACGAAGATGGAGAGAACTGATAATTGCATAAGGCAAAGGTACGAGGGCTGGGAGAGACAAGGTTAAAAGGGTGAGCGAAGGGGATCAGAGAGGGGTAGAAGGGGGGGGGGGGGGGCTGGAGAGCGGTCAGTATAGTGAGCTGGTGTGTTGGCAGGGATCGAGGGATCACAACCTCAGCCCTGTCTGTGGCCCTGTGACTCCCACTTGCTGCGCCGCAAGCGGTCGTTGACATTTTTCTTGAAGGTTTGCATACCTGCACCTCTGCGAGAAAGGGGAGAGTCTGCAGAAGGGCAGACGGGAGCTGATTCCACATTGCGATGAGGGAATGGGGAGATGCGCCGAGTGTGTTACTTCGTGACTGAGGAGGAAGGATACTGGCTTGTTGTACAATGTACTCGTCGGATCAGCTACATGCAGTAGCGACAAACAAGCCTCGGTTGCCCTTGTTGGTCTGTTTACCATCCGCTAGCACACGCTATGGTTTCAGTGCAATTTCTTACGTAGGCGCGGACAGATGGAATGCACTGCCACCTGCTTACCGCCGTTCTCGCCTAAATTTCGATCATCCATCGAAGACTTTCTTAGGGTTCCCTGTAAAAGGCGAAGACGTCTGTTGGGAATTCCCTAGTTAAATAAGAATAAAAAATAATAAACCTTCGAAGCAATAATGTACTGTAACAGTAGTTCTAGAGTAAAATCAAGCTCAAGTTGTAAATGTTGTTTTGGCGCGTCCCCCGAAAGTACAATTTCAACCGAAGATATCTCAGAAACGCTTGGTCGGACCGAAGTGGGACCTTCACCATTCGACTCAGCGTCCAAAACTCTACGGACCATGAAGTTTTGGTTTTTGGGTGAAGTTCTCTTCTGAAGAGGAACTTGAGTTACTCGGCACAACAATGTAAACGGGAACGCCTGGTACAGTACTGGACTTCTGTCAACACAAGAGTCTCAACTCCAAAGCATAGTACTAGTCTAGGTGCAGTAGACTGTAAATTCTAGGCAAGGTAGCCTACGCTTTCCTGAAGCGTCTTGGCCATATGGTTTCGGAGAAGCGGCATGAACCCTACTCCTCCGTCATGTCCTGGATCCGCTCTCTTGTCTCCTTTGCTTTGGTTCGATCCTGCAACATGAGCCTCCGTGGTCACCGTGCTTCTCCCTACCGCAGTCGTTTGGATGCTGCCACTCCTGTTGTGCTGGCAGTCAACGACTGTCAGTTGCGTGACTGAGACTCTTGCGCGGAGTAGCCGGTCTAGCCACACTTTTTATTATCCGATGATCTTGTTTTGTTTGCTATGACTCCGTGATTTTCTGTTGGTTGCTTTTCTGCTGTGCGAATAAATGCAGTGTCGACAGAAAAAAAAAAGAAAAAAAAAGACTAAGGCCAAGTAAAAAAAAAAGCTAGATGATCGTCTCCGTCCGCCCCAGTTTTTGTCAGCGCCCCAAGAAATATTTTATTTTTTAAATCGTGAGTTTTACTATATGGACCACATACTACTAGTATATCACAACGTCAGTATCGATCTGCTGAAGAAAGAAAAAGAAAAAAAGAAAAAAAAAGAAAAAAAGAGAAAAAAAACCTTGATGTTGTTGTGTACACTGTGTGCATGAGAGGGTAAAAAGTAAAAAAATAAAAATAAAATCCTCCCGCCCTCCCCGATTTTTCCAAAAAAAAGGACGATCATCTAGTAATTTTTTTTACTCGGCCTCAAGGTAGCTGCTTAGTTCAAGCACCATTAGGCATTACCAGCGTACAACTGTGCATCGGTAACACATGACGTAACCATGGCAATCGTGGTAAATGCACGAATGAGTGCAATCCATCATTGCCCTTGGCTAAGGGCCCAGGTGTCAGGTAGACAAAGAAGACACAGAAACACATTGGAAGTGGGCAAGCTGGTGAAAAGCAGCCTCGTCAACCTTCTGCACCACTAAAATAATCGAAAACTTGTACATTCAAGCGCCACGAGCATCGGACCTGAAGCAGTTGTTGAAGAAAGGCTGGGCATACATGTACAATGTAGATCATGCTTTAGTTCATGCCATGGCCAAACCAATGCTAAGTGACTGAACAGAATATTATAGTATAGCAAGTCATACTGTAATACTAGTACTGGTCATCACTGACTACTGGCCTGTGAAAAAGAAGCACTTTCCCAATACACTCAGCTACCTCCTCAATCGACATACCAGCATTGGCCAACACACACACACACACACACACACACACACAAACACACACACGCGCGCGCGCACGCAGAAGGCACCGTGTCTGAACAGGGGGTGTGCTGCGCTCCGTACTGTACCACCACTGGCTTGAGGTCTGGGGTTGATACAGGCACCCTGTACTGAGAATCCGTCATGAACCAAGCAACTGGTCACCCAACTCTGCTCAAGACACGGCAGGCCAGACGTCCTACTAGTACAGTTTGATACACGTTTAACGTAAGCACAAAGCCTTGATGGAAACATGCAGTAAATCAGTGTCTGGCACAGGTCGATCGGCTGATGATGTACACAACTGTACGGTGTGTGATGATACCGGGACGAGCGTTTCAGGAATGTTTCAATCCACACGACAGAGCGCTACAGCACCACGTCAACCTGCCTGTCTGCATGGTCAGTATTCAGTATCACCTGCCTGTCTGCAAGGTCAGTCTGCTTTCAGCACTCATCACTTGGCCAAGCGCTTCAGCTCCAGTGACAGCCAGTACACAATTGAGAGGAGAGCGAGAGAGCCAGACTGGTGAGCTGCTGCCAATGACACGGGGACGTGCATCAGCAGTGTACTGATACCAAGAGATGCCTGCGCAAGTGCATAAACACCAAGGTGAACATGAACAACACACACGCAGTTAGAAAAGGAGCCGTTGATTGTAGTGTTTAGTGGGCATTGATTAGACATCAGTGGCCACTACACCTCAAGACCAAGACCAACCGTGCAGAATTGTGCACTTACTACTTACACGGTTACACAAAATCCACACCTAAGGGTTAAAGTTGCGTGACGATCTCGTAGATTGGATTCGTGTACACGGGTTCAGGTCCGGCCTGTTTGATTCGCGTGTAGCTCCCAGATAGCACTGTCCCAAATAAGTATACATGTACATCACGGCAAAACAAGAAGTACGTGCTTTTCCTTGTTTTTCAGGTAGTAGCAAGAGTACATAACGAAGGGTGTGCAACTTGACAATACCCCAGCCCACAGCGGAATGTTTTTTATGACATCAGACTTTCGCGGCTATTTGGCTCACTGATGCCATCATGCGTAGCCAGAGATCAAATTATAAAGAAGTTGTACATCGCAGCCACGGTAGTCTAAGTAGCACAACGGACGATAGATCGATGTCTCCTGAGCCTTATGAACTTTCACCGTATCTACAAAACAAGCGCGGGAAAGCATACGCACCTGATCATACTTTTGCCAAAGAATGACGCAATAAAAAAATTCCGCGTGAATGGTGAACCCAACACAGCTCGCGATAGGAGATGCACGCTCTTGCTTATGTACTCTTGGTAGTATGGCGGTCAGGTGGTGTAGAAGTTAGTACACTCATACCTCGGTTATCTGGACCCCGAACTTACGGGCACTTTGGTCAACCGGGCACCCTTTGGGGCGAGTTTCAGTGGAAATATGACTCTCTTTTGTCGCTGTTTGTCACTTTTGTCACAGTCATACCGGTATGCCATATTTACGGCTTTTCCCCATCAAAATGTATGTGATTCGGAGTTGATTCGGACTTAAAAAAGTGTACATGTCACAGGAGGGCCAGAACTGGTAGTATAGACAGTGGCTTGGCAGGCTAGTAGGCAGTGCCTCGGCATGGGCAAGCCGGCCGAAAGCAGCTCCTCTGCGGGTTTTTTTTTGGCGAGGCCCACATGGAATTGCTATGCTCCTCTCTTCCTGGGATAGAGCATTCGCTGCTAGGCATTGTGCAGACGCTATCCATACTGGTCGAGGAGTCTACAGACAGAGAGGTGCAGGTGAGCCGCAAGATCGAGGAGCTGTGGCAGCCCAGGTGAGGGACCTGAATGAGGATTTGGTTGCCCTTAATCCGGGCAGCAAACCCATGCTGGTGGACACCAAAGTGTGATGATGCTCTTGCAGCAAAGAACAGAGCACGGACACGATGGCACCATACCCCTGCCCACGGCGACCTGAAAACAGCTTTCGTACACTCCGTCAGCCAGGCTATTGCTGCTCAGATAAGGTGCGACCATGACCAGCATAGCGAAGGTCCTGAGCGCAAGCTCTCTCGTTTCCATGCTGTCTGTTATAGCTCATGCGTAATCTAATCTTGTGAAGTCACACGCAGTTTTGTAGTGTAGTTTCAGGGGCAACCCTGATCATGAAAACTGGACTGCAGCAATTGATTGCTGAGCCCACAAACAGCTACATGCACAACACAGATCAGATTTAGCCATCTAGCTAGCACCAGGTCAGACACACACAGACACACACAGACACATACAGACACACACAGACACACACAGACACAGACACACACAGACACAGACACAGACACAGACACACACACACAGACACACACACAACACACACGTGCACACACACACACACACACACACACACACACACACACACACACACACACACCAGGTCACACACAGACACGCACAGTCGCACACTGAGGGGCATACCTGGGCAATGGCCATGAAAGCCATGCAGTGCGCAGCGAGACGTGCCTGTGGCGGTAGGGCTACAGTCCTGGCGAGTGCCCACGCTCCCACAGCACAAGTAGCTGTAGTACTACCCTGAACACCAACAACAAGTATCAAGGTAGTGGCAATGATAATGAGAACAGCAGCAGAAACAACAGTTGTGTCATAAAGCACTAAAGGACTTGTGTTGCGGTATTGAAGTCAAATAATCCCTAGGCCTAGAATGCTGTGTATCACTGTTACAGTAATGTCAGTTGCATTCTAAAAAAGGTACTCTATGTTCCACGGAGGTAGTGCACCAGCTGGTGTATCACATGACTTGGTTATAGCCTAATGTATCACATGGTACGTGACTTGGTTATAGCCTGGAGTATCACATGACACGGGACTTGGTTATAGCCCGGTGTATCACATGGTACAGTCCACTGTTGACAATGTGGACTTACCCTTAGCGTGGGTGTATGAGCACCCACACCGGTTCCCTGACAATGCATCTCTAATTGCAACACACCCTCCACCTTTCCCTCCACTGGGGTCATGCAATCAGCAGCTACCCCAGCTGAAATCTGGCTGCAGACGTGGAATTAACCTACTTGCGACCAAGTCCAACACTTGACCTTACTGATTTTATTTCTAGCAATGAACCTGAAACGCATGCGTATGCACATGCCTATACGCTGAACTCTACCATCGCCAAGTCCGATTTCAGTCTGCTTCCAAATCATCCAGGCGTTTTCAGTATCTGGGTTAGCTGCCAAGGAAGTACTGATGTAAAAGCTAGTGTAGCAGTACTATATGAGCACAATCCTAACACTCCTTTAGCATGGGCTATTTCAAACAGAAACTGCTCACCAGAATGCGATGATCAAGCTGCACGGTGGCAGCATTCTCAAAGAAGTTCTTCCAGCGGGGCTTCATAGCAAGCACTTCCTCTGGCACCCAACGGTCAGCCATCTTTGGGAATGAGTTGTAGACCAGTCCAGCATCAAGTCCGGCTACAAATGCACCTGCAGGCCAGACCAAAGACAAGTGAGTCAGAGACCGGTCTTAGAATGAATCGAGCAAGAATTGAGCAAACCACCTAATTCGGATCCATTTGACCATGTACATGTATACAGGTAACCAAGTGGCCAAGCAAGATGATGCACGCACACACACGCACGCGCGCGCGCACACACACACACACAGCAACCAGTTTGTACAAGCATCAAGATGGTAAGCATTATATCCCCGCTTTATTATCATTTCCTTTACTGGCCTAACTGGCTTGTAATACTTTATTACTAGGGCTGAAACGATATGATCGATTAACCGTTTGCTAATCGCTAAGGAAATTATCGATTATCGTTAGCTGTCACTAACGATATAACAATACTACTGAACTATGTAGATGTACGTGTGTAAGGTGCCAGAACGCGAGTAACAGTGCGGTGAGTGCTGCGTGCACTGTGTTACTGTGTGTACGGGGTCCAAACCGCGCTGTGCACTGGCATGGCACTTGTCCACTACCACATTATACACTGGTGGTAGACAGTTACTGTTGAGTTAGTGCGTACACTGACCCAGCGAGCGCGAATATCGCTATATCGTTATATCGATTGCTAAGCTATAAGTGTTATCGTTAAGCAGTTTTTGCATATCGTTTCAGCCCTATTTATTACCTACTCTATTCAATATCATTACATGTACCTTCACTGGCCTTTTATAATTTATTCTCCTTTTTAGTCGATATCATATAATTAGGTAAATTTGCCTGTTTGTTCTTCAACTCTAAATAATAAAATAATACTTGTAAGTAAAAAATTGATAAAAATGTAATGCATGCAGTACGGTTGCTGCAACTCACACCGGACCACATGAATGTAACAGCATGCCACATACATCCTGAGATGTAGTACCAAGAGTACACAGCCTTCGGAGAGTGTGCAACTCTGCCACTTAACCGAAGGACAAAACCAGTCAGCTTGATCGTCATTTCACTATGTGACAAAGGCAGCGCGACGCGCAGAGCAACCGTAGCTGGGAGATCAGAGTTGCACACTCTGGGGGAGGGGGTATGGACTCTTGGTAGTGATATCCAATGATTCTAATCATTCCCCTCGCTCCTCAGTCATGCACTCCACCATGCAACCCGTACACAAGCCAAAAGACCAGGTTTTTTTTAAGAAAAAAAGGAACACAGTTATTACGTGCATGGTTGAAAGGAGAGAGAAGAGAAAACAACCAAGAAAAGCCACTCAAATCGCTGTCACACGCAAAATGTGCCCTACCTGTGACAGTGTACACTCGGTGACACAAGCGAACTCAGCGTACCGCGCACGTTTCTGCTGATGACAGCGATTTCAGTGGCTTTTCTTGGTTGTTGTTCTCTTCTGTGTCCTTTCAACCATGCATGTTATAGCAGGGGCGTCACCCGTGACGGGCACGGGGGGCACGTGCACCCCCCTAAAAAATTCGACCTTGGTTTTTTGCGAACTCCTGGTTATGAAAAGTGTAGTGCTGGTAGAATCTAGATCTACTAATAAACTGCATGCACTATAAAAACTAGTTCAGTAGTTGTACTTGTCTGCCGCGATCGCGTGAGTGCGTGGAGCGAGTGCATGTACATGACCGATTATACTAATGCTAGTACTTACCTACTACGCGCGTGCACTTGTGCGCAGCGCTGCATCCTTTGCAGGCTTTGGCCTTGTACTAGAATCTACAAATTCAATACATGTACACGCGCGGCGGCGTGCTGGGTGTTTGTTTGAAACAGAAGAAATAAATAATTTCAGTGTGGTCGCAAGTAAGTTAGTCAGGTCACCACACTTGAAGAGTCTTTGGAGCTGTTTCCTCTCAAAATGTCGTCTTCTCGAAAAAGGAAAGCGTCTGGCCAGCTCACTATCAGCGAACTTTTTCGTGTTTTCCTGTGCACAATTTTTCCTGTGCAAAATTCCTGTGCACCCCCCTGTGAAGGGGTCCGGTGACGCCCCTGAATAGGTTAAGTTAATCCAAGGTAAACATTAACAGTCAGGGGAAGTGAACTGCCTGAAAAGAGAAAAAAACGCCCGACCCACCAGGACTCGAACCCGGGACCTTTCTTGTCATGAGCAATGCTCTAACCACTCGCGCTCATGACAAGAAAGGTCCCGGGTTCGGGTCCTGGTGGGTCTGGCATTTTTTTCTTCTCTTTTCAGGCAGTTCACTTCCCCTGACTGCTATTGATGGTAACAGTGTGCCTGTACATGGTGGAGCTTCCCGGCAGGTGTCTCGACACGACGCAGCTGTTCATTTGCCATGTACGACGAATTTGTTTCTTGTCATTCCAGATTCACTCAAGCTGGACCTGCCCCTGAGTATGTTCTGCTGCCCCTGAGTATGTTCTGCTGCCCCTGAGTTTGTTCTGCTGCCCCTGAGTATGTTCTGCTGCCCCTAAGTATGTTCTGCTGCCCCTGAGTATGTTCTGCTGCCCCTCAGTATGTTCTGCTTGACATACGGAAGGCCTACCTCCAGGTCCATGTTGCAACGTCATTGCTGCCCTTTCAAGTTGTACTCGTTGACGGCCAGCGTTATGTGATGGAAAGGATGGCGCTTGGTCTCTACATTGCTCCCAAGTCTCTGGATATCATTGTGAAGTGGGTCCTGCGTGACTTTGTTGAAGCTGACAACTACGTGGCTGATATCCACGTGGCACGTGAATGTGCTGCCGCAGTGTCGTCTCAGCTTGCTGCGTTTCGTTTCGAGACCAAGCCTGCAGAGCCATAACCCGATGTCCGTGTTCTTGTCTTGCAGCTGCATCCCAGCGCCGCGGGAGAAGTCCGTAGCAGTAGTGCTAACTAACACTGGGCCGTGCAATGAACTCAGCAAGCCCAGTATTGAGTGCACAAGGTCACATTTCCTCTTGCTTACGACTGCACGCACACACACACACACAGCCATTTGACTGAACGCCACTTACCGGACAAGGCAGTGATGAACGTCAATCCCTTGACAGAGTGAACAACACCACGCAGACGCCCCAAACCAGCAGGCGGTGCACCTCCCGTCTATAGCATACGTAGAAAGAAGACACACACGTCCACACAGTCAGAGTCACAACAAAAACAAGAACTATGCCAACAAAAAGTAGCATAAACGTAGGCACTGTATACCAGCAGCGGAATAACAACACAACAACAGTACTGTAGCAAGTCAACACATCAACGAGCTGGGTTACGAATTACAATGAACTAGATATGCCTCTCACAACCCTGCTTCTACATGCAGTACACAATGTGTGTTCAGACTTCGGACACGGACAGTTCAATACTTCATGTGCACGTTTCAACAAAGAAACTAACGCCACGTCACGACTACTACACTGCACACAGTAGTCAGTTGACAAGTGCAAGGCATACCTGTGCGTGCGGCAACAGTATCTTCAGGCCCGAGCTGAACATGAGAATGTAGAGAAGCAGAGCTGAGCCCAAGTGCGAGGCGAGGCGATACTGGCTGACACGTGGAATGTCGGTGGCTTCCTTTGGCTGCTCCAGACCACTCTTCACCATAAACCAGCCCAACAGACCCTGCACAGTGGTGTGGCGCATACCCAGACCAGACACAACAGGCAAATGGACGATGTCAAGTAACAGCTAAAACCATCCAGCTGAATGACTCTTGATACTGGTACTCGATTAAAATAATATTTTAAACGAGTACCGAGTACCAGTACATGTATCAAGAGTCACTGAGCCTGATGTCTTATACAGTCAGGTATTTGGTTCCCACGAATTGAAGACGCTTAGAGCAGAGTTACAAGTAGGAGACCCCCTCACTATGGGTGGACTTGGAAATGATCCCACTTATGGGCTCACCACACCTCAGTAAGTGGGTGAGGACAAGGTGCAGAAAAAGGATTGACGGCATCAGGGTATCCGTCCCAGGATCCAACTGCAGTTACCCCTGCCCCGGTGAAGGTAATACTTGCTACTAGTGTGTGGCTAAATCAGAGTGGATCTGATATAAGCTTCACTAGCACCATTGATTACACAAGGGTTACTCTAGCCAGAAGCAACATTACACCTTCAAGTAGCCAAGCCCGTTGTTGGCAACAGACCCCACAATATTTGGCATAAGTGTACCCACCAACCGAACTAGCTGACACACAGTGACACGCACACACGCACATACACATACACACACATACACATACACACTCTACAGCCAGTTTTACTACAAAGTTCGAGTTCGTTTAGGCTGTGCATGGTACTATCGTATGAGCTGTGCTGGTACCACGCAACATACAGCCTACCTGAAAAAGGATGAGACTTCCAAAGATTCCCACTCGGATCTTCATCCCCTTGTTCAGCCAGCCTTTGTAGGCAAAGAAGGCAGCAGGCAGAGCGAATGCCACACCTATGGCACGGCCCCACATGCGATGCATGTACTCCATGTAGAAAATCTTCTTGAAGTCTGCCAGCTGGAAGTCATGGTGAACTCTGACAAAATAACAGCAAACAAAAGAGGAAAGACAAAGAGCACTTAAACCAAGTACACAACCCGGAGAATACGGGAATAGCTAAGTGCAACGGCGGTGAGAGTAGTGGTTTGTGTGTACATTTTTAGTGTCTGCAGGGCTAGCGTTACAAATAGGTCCACAGACCCGCTGCTCAAAATCTACGAAAGAAGAACGGACAAGCAATGGCAATAGCACAGGGAAAAAATGATGAACTGATGCTCTGAGACGTCGCACTCAATGACAATATGTGGATAGAGGAGTCACCATTAGAAGGTGCAAAGCCGACTTGAGAATATTCAGCGAATATTCAGGAATACTGGTAGTGACATACATAACAGCAACATATTCACACATACCCATTCACCCACCCACCCATTCCTATCCGCATCCATTATTGTCTCCTTTTCTACACAGCACACCTCTGCGCTCACATAGCTATCACCTCTAGTCTGTCACCAACGTTACATAATGTGTTTGCTACTGAACTTTGTGCTACAGCACTATAGTATACCATACCGGCCCTACTGATATATCGCTACCTGTGTGAATGGTGGGCGCTTGATTTGTAGTACTACCTTGAACCCGGTATTAGTCTCTGTATCCGAGATGCAGCTAACGGGATTTCGGTCTTTGACCACTTGGTGGTGGGTCTGATCTACTCACCTCCCACCGTTTCGGCGCTGCATCTGCGCCTTGATCCTAGAGGGTGGTGGCGTTCCCACGGCGGATGCGGAAAACTTGGCTTCCAGCCGAGTCTCACGCGAACCGTGAAATGTATTAATTATCCGAGATGTTCTTCTCCCCATTCCTGATAATAATAGCCTCATAGGTGACAATTTAGAAGATATCTATTCGAACTGGTGGTGTGGGCAAGGACTGGAGAAAGCTGTGCGGTGAATAGTAGTCTTCGATAATGCTCAGAGACTAGAATGTTTTACATGTATTTCCAAAACTTGCCTGATGATTGCGAAAGCATGAAACCCTGAGTAGCGACTAACTAGCCTTAATTGCCGTGTGTTGTTCTGCGTATTTCCAAACAAAATATAAAAGTGCCGGGCACACGAACACTCACTGTTCAAACTCTGGGAATTGCTTGTAACGGTTGAACTCGGCCTCCCACTCCTCTTGCGACACTGGCGGCTTCATGCCCCGAATCAAATGCCAATCGGTCATGGACAGGCCAGACTCGGTGAGGCGGGTAACACCGCCAAGCATCACTGCTCCCACCACCATACCCGCACAGCCTAGTAGCCATTTGCCCACAATGCGATCGGTACGTGACGGCAGGCCGGCTGCGGGCGAAGACGGTGGTGCTTGCTTGGTGGCGCAGCGACGCAACGACCCAAGGCAGTTCTGCAGCACATCATCAGAATAGAGTAATCAGTCATGGCCGGCCAACTTTCTGCTCTGAAATAGGGCACTGAGCACTCAATGCAGTACTGCCGGGCGTCCAAGAACGGTGTGCTGCTCTGAAATAGGGCACTGAGCACGCAATGCAGTACTGCCGGGCGCCCAAGAACAGTGTGCCACAGAACAAACAGGGTACCGGTAGGATTTCGCCCAGCACAACATGCCCATACTTACGCAGTGACTCGACCGCATGGAAAATAAGAACGACCTTTTGGCCTTGACACTGCCCCCCCCCCCCCCATTCTTCCGCACCCGACGGTACAGTCAGATCTCGCTTATCCGGATCCCTCGCCATCCGGAAGAATATTGTTGGTTACCGATTTACAGCATATGTCATGAATACATACAGCATGTGTTCGATTATCCGGTCCTCTCGCCTATCCGGATAGATTTGTGGAAAACGGATGTGTGCGGTTAAGGTGGCCCTCTGAGCTTTACGGCACCCCGCCCGGAAAACAGCGTAACTTTGGTTACAATGCATATAATTGGTTCAAATTTTCAACACTAATTCCTGAGATCCCATAGTCTGATCTTCACCAGGAAAAATGGACCTCTTCACAAGCACTGTCGGTGTGGATGTGAATTTACGAAAATTGCCGTATATAGAACTCGTAACCAGCACTCAGAAATACCAATGTTTTTATCATGACATTTTTCACATGGAGTACATTCTTTACATCCAACTTCAGGTGCTAAAACAACAATATACAAAGAAAACCTCAGAAAAGGTTTCCAATATCGAAAACACAAAACCATAGTCCAAATGCGCAAAAGAACGACACATGTTGGAGATGCTCTTTACAGCCTATACTACCTGAGAACAGGCCACATTGAGTTTTAGCACCTAGCCAAAGGTCCACGGATTCAGAAAATATATACTTTTGGGGGTGTAGAAGCAACAACTGAAGCCACAGCCTGGTTACAAGGTCCGGCAATGGCTGAAAAAGAGAGAAAATTGGGTACCAAAATTTGATTTATGTAAATGTGTTTTACAGGGTAAATAGTGGTGTGAGAACGGTATGATCTTATTTGGATAGGTATGTCTGTCTGTGTGTTTGCCTCCCTCTGTGTGTGTGTGTGTGTGTGTGTGTGTGTGTGTGTGTGTGTGTGTGTGTGTGTGTGTGTGTGTGTGTGTGTGTGTGCGTTTGTGTGTATGTCTGTATGAAATTTTTAAACCAACTTGCAATTATTGGAATTTACTATTATTATTTCGAAATTTCACATGTATTCACCTATGTTCAGGCGGCTATATCTCCGGAACGGCTTTGAATACCGCCCTCAAATTTTTTTGTGTGTTCTTGGATGATATAGGAAGGATTTGACTGCACTTTGGGAGCAATCCAAGAAAGTCGGGTTTTTGACCCCCAAAGCTCAGAGGGCCACCTTAAGCGAAGTCTGACTGTACTGTAGAGTAGAACCCGGGTTAAGGGTCACACCGGATTAGGGATCAGAGCCCGGGAGGGGGGGGGGGGGGTCACTTGGCACGTACATTGTGCGGGTGATCCTTCGGAGCCCGGGGGGGGGGGGGGGGGGGGGGGGTGGGCCCGTGGGTCACTTGGCATGTACATTGTACGGGTGATCCTTATACCGGGATTTAATTTCCGGCCCAAGGGGGGGGGGGTCCCCCGTCGGTTGCCGAGGAAGCCGTAACTTTTTTCGCTCCAAACTATTTTTCCGAGGTCCATCTACTCACAAGAAGTCGTTTTGCACACCTTTTTGCCCATCCCTGTACAACTGAGTCCAGCTATGTCCGCGCAGAGTTAGGTGGACCCTTAACCCGGGTTCTACTCTACGCCAACAATTGATCATTATAGTTTACGTCGGCTGATGAGTGTCACCTGCGAATGGAACTCTGAGTAGTAGCGGATATAATACATTAGGTGTTCAGTCTTCCACTGCTGATTGTGTGTGTGTACCGTAGGCTCTGCCATATCGTGTGTCGAGCACTACATGTATTGTAATGGATGACTCTACTGTATTGTAATGGATGGACCGCTTCTGCCACAGTAACTAATGATATGTCACCACAACCAGCAGCTGACAAGGACTTCAATTATAAAAAAGATGAGATATACTTGTGAATATTAAACTTCAGGCATGACTAAATCGTGAAAAAAAAAGAAGCAATGTAGCTCTCTTCGGCAGATATTCAAAATAGCATGTACTGTTATCAAATTATCACCAAAAAAACCAGACTACCAAATCCAAATCAAACAGCTAACCTTCAAGGAGGAGGAAAGCGACGCACCCATGTTACATTTCGAAAGAGGAGTTCGTCTGACAAGCGACGCATGCTGACGACAAAGTGCTGGCACAGATGCAGAGAGAGCACTCCTCGTAAGCAGTGCCCCACGGAAGAGAGCCTGTGCATGAAATCAAACAAGTCACAAAAGTTTCAAACACTTCTAACCGACCTGTTCCACATAAAATGTTCTCAAAATTAAATCTTGCATATGCCCAGTGTACTGTTGGTATTACTGGGTATCTCCATTCCCTAGTCTCACCTTTGTGACACCAGTACCGGACAAGTACAAGTACAGTCAGTCCCAATACTCATATGTATGTATGTATGTATGTATGTAATTGTATGTATGTATGTAATTGTATGTATGTATGTATGTATGTATGTATGTATGTATGTATGTATGTATGTATGTATGTATGTACAGTTGTGGCAAGTGAAATCCGACACTTGCCATAGGGGACAGCGCCACAAATGGACACCAATGATGTAATGCACTGCACCTAATTTGTACTATAGAGCCGTATGCATCCCAAACAGATCGAAAGGTCACAGCATAGATACACGCAGTTCACAAATATGGTACACATAAGGAGTATTGGTATCCAATCCCCATTCATTTTTGCCAGCACCTTTCGAACCTTGACTGTGATGAGTACGAGTTTCGTCATCAGACAGATAAGGCCACACCGTTTTTTTATCTATGTTTCGCGTCCCCCGCGCGCATGTATTTCACAGCCGGAGTTTTAAAAAAATTAAAAAAACGGAAATGTTTTTTTTTGAAAATGCAATACAAATGTAATGCAAACCCAGAAAACCGGAAAATGTAACTCAGCTCACACACAGTACATGTGTGTGCAATAAGCTGGGCCGCAAGTCACACAATCATCATGCCGCCTGTGTTTGGACCACAAGCATGGCAGAGGGGATACACTCATGTATTCATGTACATGTTACTTGTACATGTGCATGACGATTGTCAATGTACATGTACAAGTATAATATTATGAACAGTGCCGCGTCGCTTCACTGTACATGCAATGCACGTACACTGTTTTTTTTGGATGGCTTTTTTATTTTTTTCGCCCTCCCTCATTGATTTCATCGAATAAGGTGACGCGAAACATAGAAAAAAAACGGCGTGGCCTAAAGTTGTATGTAACACATGTACTGTACGTATGCAGGGCTGCAGACTGCATGGTGCAGTCCCTTATGCCAAGTGTTGGATTTCACTTGCCACAACTGTATGTATGTATGTATGTATGTATGTATGTATGTATGCATGGCTTCGCCAGTTGTGTGGATTAGACAGTTATCTGGCGCTTGTCTTGATCTGTTTCAATCAGAATCAGATCCGCTATCGTTGCTATAAAGAGAAAATCTGTGGGTGCACATCCAGTGCATTTGCAGATTTGCGTGCTTCTCTTGCGACGGGCGTATACATGGTACATGTATGTATGTATGTATGTATGTATGGATGGATGGATGGATGTATGGATGTATGGATGGATGTATGGATGTATGGATGTATGTATGTATGTATGTATGTATGTGATGAACTCTAGATGTTTACATACTCGAACCAAACTGACTGCTTTTTCCACACCTGTTCTGTTTTGCTTCCATGCAATGCATGAGTTTTTAACTCAGCCATGACCCGGCCAAATTTATTCCCAAGGCTATGCAAAAGATAACTATCAGTAGCGCCTGGCACTAGCCAGCGTCCACAGCGCTTTATTCCCAACGCTATACAAAAGATATCAGTAGCGTCTGGCGCTAGCCAGGGTCCACAGTGCTTTATTTCGTATCTGCGTTGTGTGTCACAGGCAGGCATGAACCACGTGACAGGACAGCAGTGAGTGTGGCGGGCCAGGTGCGGTGTGCAACTAAGCATAACGAGGGTCCTGAGCAGAGCTCTCTCTCTCTCTCTCTCATCACTTCTCTATTACACACAGGAGCGGGGGGGGGGGGGGGGAGGGAGAGAGAAAGAGAGAGAGAGAGAGAGAGAGAGAGAGAGAGAGAGAGAGAGAGAGAGGGGGAGCTGTGTTGAGACTTAACGTTTCGCATTCATTCACGCTCATCAGGGGCCGTTTACATGAGAGAAATACGCCCAGGCTTATTCAGCCCTGCGTTTACGGTACGCCCTTCTTGATCTGCTACCCATCATTTCAGAGTGCGGGCGTTTACATGGTGTGGCCGACTTACTCAGCTCGCCCCGAGCTCAACTAGCACTACCCCAGACCTCGAGCTTATCCAACCCCTGGGGCTTCTTTTTCTCATGTAAACGGCCAAGAAAATAAGTCCTGGCCGGAGAGGATATCGTCGTAGACAGTGCGCCTCTTTTGTTTTTGTTCTAGGCACATTTTCATATGACTTTTTGTTGAGTGGAGACTTTGCCTTCTCGAAAATATGCGACAACCGGAAAGGCAGTAGGGCCGTGAACAGGTACTTCTTGATCCAAATTCGTCATTCACGAATATTTGCCACTGCGTACATGTGTGATTAGAAAGAGGAGCGCTATTCTACTGCTTCTTTCACCTACACGCATCCATTCCCATACAAAGTGAACGCGAACTGGGCTTCGCCTGTTCACCAGCGATTCAAACAATTTCTCACACCGGGACCCCAAAAAGTGACCGTTGGTACAACCTTGAAAAAGCTCTATCCAGTGGGACCATGATGAAAAGTCAAAAAAATGATTTAGGGTTTATAATCTGAGGATTGTTCCCTCAGTGTGACCCCCCCCCCCCCCCCCCGGGCCCCGGCCCTAAAGGTTGAAAAATAAACCCGATGCAAATAGGCCTGGGCTTATTTTTCTCATGTAAACAGACTCTTACTCTATCATCACCTTTCCCTCTTCAGTGTTCTAGGGTACAAACAGTTGTATTCAAAACCCTGATAGCAGGCAAGAAACGCACCATTCTTATTCTTGACGAGGCGAGCAACAATACACAGCAATGACTGTGCTCACAGCTGAGTGTACCCCGAAATGAAATAGCCCGCAAACAGGAATCCAATCCTCTACGTTCCCCAAATAACCTGTATGTAGATTTAATCTAGCCGGCCTCCGTCTGATCGGAATGGACAATGCGAATCTGCGATGACAAACAAGTCTTCCAAGACAACTGCAAGAGCCTTCTTGATCTTTTACTAGTTCGAATGATTCGAGTGGATTCAGATTGTGTAACTATTTTCTAGCTATTGGTATGCAGTCACGACGTCACAGTACATAGACATAAAAGATGACGTAATCCTTACAGCGAGGTAGGGAAAGTCCCTGCCAGAGTTTGAGCACTGAGTGAGCAGCAAAACTATCGACTCCCAGCACTGTTTGTTACTACTGTACAATGTACTAGTGCTTGACTTATGAAGTTATGTATGTATCTGATTATATCCTGGGGGGTGTAGCATGATGACTGTTTTGGTGTTTGGTTACTAGTACCATTCTGTCTATGTAAACCCTACTAATGGACTCGCCCACTCTCTCTGGAAATGGGCAATACCGTGCTGGCAACAACATTGAAGACACAACGGTGCACCGACCCGTGCTGAGTGCAGTGTGAAGCCAGTTGGGGCAACAGAACTGTTCACGACTTGCCTATGCCCACTGCTTTGAGGACAGGTGAGAGAGAGGGGACAGGGGGTATGTGTGTGTGTGGGGGGGGGGGGGGGAGGGTACCGGTAATTATTTTAACTTTGATAATATTTGCACTACTGGTACCTGCAGAAGGGAATAAAGGGATACAAATTAATAATGCACTTACAAATTGAGCAATCACACACGGCAGAACCTAATCCTGTACTCACACGGCAGAACCTAATCCTGTACTCTGCAATAGCACCATTGCTACTTCAAGAGAGTGTTTTTTAGTAGCAACGAGCCCAGCCTTCATGAGCCACCGCCATGAACAAACGACAATACAATAATTATGCACTTGAACATGCACGAAAATGATGTAGTGCATGAGCTTGAGTAGGGCTGAAACGATTATACAAACCAAATACTCGGTAATCGATCGATATTTTCTCCACAGTCAACTAATCGTTACATTATAGATGATCTGATTAATTAATTGTTTGGGATTTTGAATCCAAAAAGTACTGAAACCCCCTCTTTTGTGAAGTTCGATTCAGTTTCCGCTGTGAGTATGCAGTTAGTTGCAAGGGGTATGGTTCATGTTCTGAGTTTCAATTGACTTCAAAACTGCCGTGTTTCAGAGCCACACTTTCACTAACGAATTTTTTTAGTATTATGAAGGCATAGCTTGTGGAAACAGAGTAATTTTTGCACAAAATCCTGACACTGTTTGCTAACGATGATAATCGATTAATCGATCGGTAAGCTAAAGAGTAATCGATAGGTGAAAATCCACGATGGTTTCAGCCCTACTTGAAAGTCATGACATAAGAAGTCAACAGATAAAACAAATAAATTTAATTGGATCCACTCTGCCCCTAACGAAGTACAGTAGACGTACATGTACACAATATTGTGTGTATGTGGTGAGTAGGTCCCTCGTGTCGCGCAGGTGTGAATTTTTCTGCGTTAGGAGTATGTGCCAGGTCGGGAGGGCCCAGGCCAGTCTCTACACTGAGGTCTACCCTCGGTAGTAGACAACCATAGGGGTTTCAACATGTTTCTCTTGTAATAAGTTGTTGTAACGAGTTGTATCTACTATCCGGATTTGCATATTTTTCTGCTGTTTTACATTATTCATATTGTATCCACCTCAGAAATGATGTTTCCTCAGCAAAAAATTTCCCCAGACCCCTCCCTGTACAAGACAACCCGTTATTAGACAATTTTTCCATCGGACCCGACCCCGATACAAGACAACATGAAACATCGATCGAGCTATCCATGGCCATTTGCTTAGTCTTGTAATGAGGGAATCGAACCTGTGCGACAGCTGAAGGTGACGTTGCAACGTCCACAAACAAAATATCTCTTATCCAGACGTGCATGTACGACTGCTGAACGCATTTCGTCAGGGGATTGTTTGGATGGTTGTCATGTCTACTACTGTATTGAGGTTTGTCTTGTAACCGATGTCGTCCCGCTAACGAGGGTACAGCTGTACCCTGTCCTTGGCTTGGAAATCGCAGCAAATGCCGCGATTTCCGTAGGTTTCCGCTAATTTAGCATTACCCATCGAAACCTTGTAATTTTCTTGTTTTTTCATTGATTTTCAGCGAATCTGTGACCCCGTCCAGTAGGCTGTATGCCGGTGCGGACATTGACGGACTGCACACGGTGGGCGTGTACTGTTCCAGTACATTGTGCCAGTGTTACGGCAACAAGGCATGGTATGTAGTTGCATGTCCAGACACAGCTTCACTTGCGCATCGGCAAAACTACTTCGAAGCACATTGTACATGTACATGTAATACTGACCATACGTGTTTGGCACTGTTTGCATTGCACCCACAACCAACGAAAAGCTTACAACACAGTCACAGGGTCAAGAATCACTGCTTCTCTTCAGGTGGTCCGGCATGGGATACTTGACCAGAAATTGATCTTATTGACCTTCGCCCCATTTTGCATGAATTGGGTGGTCAACCTTTTTGAAGTTTTTCGAAAATAAGTTCCGGCCATGTAATGTCCGAACCAGGACGACTCCCTGGTCCGAACTAGCCACCGATGCTGCAGCCCTGTATACGCATGCGGGTTTAAAATCGAACTACAGTAATTGAAACGGAACCCTTCTGATTTCGACTGAATTTTAGATTCTTGCTTTGATTTTTACTTTCGAAAGCCAACAATTGCATCGTACGAGTATCAGTCCATCGTTGAGGTTGAATACATGCAAGCATGTTACCTTACTATTTTGAGGAATAATTGACCTTTTCTTTCTTTCGCATCTGGAAAGGACAATGTCATACTTCTAGAAGAAGGTAAGCAGCAGCAGCATTCGGCCATTGGAAATTCTGCTGAAGTAGGGCTCTGTGGCCACAGCTGTCGAAAGGGATTACATGGTTGTATAATAATATAATTATTATTATTATACAAACGAGAAAGACCAAGGAAATTATTAATTATTATTATTTCGGTATTGGGAAGGAAGTTGAGGAATCTCTTGCTGCCGTGGGAAGTGTGTGTGTTGTTGGCCACAGAGTACAATGGTGGTGGTGGTAGTGGTGGTGTAGTCAATCTATGTCTGGAAAAGACGTTCATTTTTTAGAGACAATTACATGGCAGCATCGTTACAGTAAGGGGCCATCCGTAAATATAGATATTTATTTAGAAACGAAAACTAGTCGTTTAGGGGGGAGCGCCTGTTCGTTTCTCGAAAAATATCGATGTACATTTTGCCCGCGTGAGCATGTCCAGAAAAGAAGATCAAAAATATCGATACCATGTACCATTTGTACATGTTTGTTTCTCAGGGAGGGGGAGGGGGGAGGAGGGGGGTTGAAGAGAAACGACTAGTTTTCGTTTCTAAATAAATATCGGTATTTACGGAAGTCCCCTAAGTCCCTTTTGAATTTCTTACACAGGCAAACGAGGGCTTTCTTTACAATTCAAGTATGCCATTTCTAGTTCAGTTAGTACCTAAAGGCCTGCCACTGCACCGATGCCGCGATGGTCCATCTTCCACATCCGTTTTTACTTGTGTTCAAGATATCAGCCAGCATGCCATGGTCTACGGGCAGGGCATTTTCCTTACGATGTACATTTACATGGGATACGATCACGTGCACGCACACACACACACACACACACACACACACACCACACACCACACACACACACACACACCACACACACACACCACACACACGCACACACACACACACACACACACACACACACACACACACCACACACACACACACACACACACACACACACACACACACACACACACACACACACACACACACTTGTACTTGTACGTGTTGCTCACTGCCAAAACTGGTCACGTGGGTCTCCCCGGGAGACGGGAGAGAGACTAAAAAGGAATCTTGGAAAGATGACTTAATTGGCTATTGAACCGCCCAACGACCGATACCCCCTGAAATCCCCAAAACTCTGGGTGGACTTGAAAATGATCCCACTTATGGGCTCACCACACCTCAGTAAGTGAGTGAGGACAAGGCGCAGAAGAAGGATTGACGGCATCAGGGTATCCATCCCGGGATCCAACTGCAGTTACCCCTGCCCCCAGTGAAGGTGATACTTGCTACTACACCTTCAAGCAGCCAAGCCCGTTGGCAACAGACCCAACACAATCAGGCATAAGTGTACCCACCAACCGAACTAGCTGGCACACACACACACACACACACACACACACACACACACACACACACACACACACACACACACACACACACACACACACACACACACACACACACACACACACACACACACACATATACACACACACATACACGCGTTCAGCACATCAGTCATTTTTTTCAGGGTCAATCAAGGTAGAGGTTTGCTCAAGGAAACAGTAATCGAAAACTTCTCTACAAGACAAGTACTACGCAAGTCAAGCATTCTCAAACCGAAAAGCCAAGCAAGCAAAACACCATCCAAGAAATCAAGTGCAGTCACAACACGAAGACACGTATACTGTACAGTGAACATTAAGACAAATACAGTAGAAAGTAGCAATTGCACTGTGCAGTGAAATTCAAGATATGGTTGAAACCAAGATTGGCTTGAACTTGAGAATTAGCCAGCTGGTACAAAAATCAGTTAGTTCAACTAAGGCGTACTTGAATAGACCAGAAACAAGTGAAGAGGCAATTCGAAAACGGAGCATTACAACGCACAAACAGACGTTTGACACGGATACTACGATTTATATTAGATGGAGAATTTTCAACCAAATAATATTTGGATGAATTTTTATGAAAATTTAATATTTTGGCTGAATATTCGGATCGCATGCCGCTGCTAAAGCTGTTGCGTGCGATGCGATACTCGTTTCACCTCATGAACTCAGCCGCTGGCGTGTACAAGCATTGACATGTGTGCGGTGGACGAAGTCAAGTGAAGGGCAATCTGATAATTATGGTAGTACTCGCAGGTAGCTTTCAGTAAACAAATACAAGACTGGCAATGTTGTCGTGCATTGATCAAGACAGTTTCTGTGTATGTGACTAACTGCCCCATTCGAAAGGGCTTCAAATATCATATTACGTAAAGGTGCAATGTCAAGGACCGTTGTTGCTCGTCAAAGTTCAGCAATAGACCAGTACATCCGCAGTAGAACTACATCAATGGTTCCACAACCGAAGTCACGTTTTCATTCAGTCAAAGTATGTAGTAGGTCTGGTCACCATCCTCAATGGGAGCACATTATATGTAGGCGTGTCGGTAATACCGGCACCACCTAACTATCAGGAATATCAGCGTCGGATACTGTTTGTAGCCGTGTGTTTAGTTCCAGCGATCTTGCTGCGGCGCCATCATACTAACAATGTTGGGCTGTGCAACGCCCGGCGGAGCAGCGGCAAACTGTCCAGCCAGCTGCTGTCCAGCATTGGGTGTGCGCACCATGCCTTGCATGGCCTGCTGCCAGCCTTGCGGCAGGATGCGCGGCTGCATCTGACCCGGAAGAGCGCGGCCCACTTGGACGGGCATGCGTGCATACGCCTGCTGGGCTGCGTCCACCGGAATGCCAGCGGGACGTGGCGCGGGCACTCCCATGGGCAGGGCGGCACCGCGTGCCCCCTGTGCCTGTGTGCTGAAACCATACGGTGACTGTATGGCTGTGGGAGTTGCCTGACCCTGCTGAGCCGCAGCCAATGCAGCAGCAGCAGCTGGTTGCAGTGCCCGGTCGCCACTCGCGAGGTGAGCAACAGGCTGTCGATTACTGAGCGCCGCTGCCTGTGCTCCCGATTCGACGCTGCTAACTGGCGTCAGCGCGTGACCGGGCCGCACCATGGAGTATTGCGACGGCCACAGAGGCCGAATACCAGGGTGCGTGGATGTTAGCCACTGCTGCTGTGCCGGAATGTACCGTTGCTGTTGCTGCTGCTGCTGCGCTACCAGCATATGCTGCTGCGGATGAGCCGAGGTAACCATCTGGACTGTCTGGGCTGGCGCAATCTGGTGTGTTGCAGGGGATTGCGATGCTGGAGAGATGCGTGGTTGGCTGGGTGTTCTGCTGGCACGTTGCACAGCTTTGGGAGGTGATTTGAGGTTTTCTCGGTGCTGCTGCTGTTGTTGCTGCTGTTGTTGCTGCTGTGCAGCTTGCTGCTGCTGTGCGGCTTGCTGCTGCTGTGCAGCTTGCTGCTGCTGCTGTTGCTGCTGCTGTGCAGCTTGCTGCTGCTGTGCAGCTTGCTGCTGCTGTGCAGCTTGCTGCTGCTGTGCAGCTTGCTGCTGTTGTGCAGCTTGTTGCGCTTGTGCTCTCTGCTCTTGCACGAGGCGCAGCTGTTCATGCTGTGCAGCTTGCATTTCATACTTCAGTTGCTGTTCTTGCTGCAGCTTTGCTTGCTGCTGTGCAGCTTGATGTGCTGCATGCGCTTCTTGCTGTGCTTTCTGCTTCTGTTGCTGCTGATGGTGATGTTGCGGCTGCTGCACTGGCTGTGCAGTTGGCTGTTGTCTTTGCTGCATTGCCTGTTGCTGCCGTTGCTGCAAGTACTGTGCTGCTGCCATATTCTGCGGAGAATTCGTGGCACTACGGTCCTGCTGCTCCTCTGATCCATGGCTTGGCGGGCCAACAATGGCAGCGACTGGGTTTTCCTTCACTGGTTTCGCCCCTCGTCGCGGTTTAGTCTGTTGCTTACTGGCCTGTTGCTGCTGCTGTTGCTGCAGCGCCTGTTCCTTCTGCTGTTGCTGCAGCGCCTGTTCCTGCTGCAGCTGGTGCCTTTGTTGGTGCTGGCGCAGTTGCTGCTGTTGCTGCATATGTCGTTGTTGTTGTTGTTGTTGTTGTTGTTGTTGTTGTTGCTGGTGCTGTTGTGTTTGCTGTTGTTGCTGCTGCTGCTGCTGCTCGTTTCGTTTCATTTGTTTAACCTGGGCCTGTTGCATTTGCAGTACACTCTTTTGATCTGGCTGTTGCTGCTGCTGCTGCTGCTGCTGCTGTACTTGTGCCATCTGCTGACTGCCAGCATATACAACAGGCTTTTCTTCTGTTGTGGGACTTCTTTCCTTTTTCTCTTCAGCCTGATTAGGAGCAGCCAGAGAAGGAGAACTGATCGGCTGTCGCACTGCATGTTGCTGCTGCTGCGGTGGCCTCTGGTGTTGTGTATGAAGTTGATGTGGCTGTTGTGATTGTAGCTGGGCTTGCGTCTGCTGCTGCTGGACTTGTTGCAGCTGCTGCTGTCGCTGCTGCATTTGTTGTTGGAACTGCTGAAGTTGCAGCTGTTGTAAATACTGCTGTGTTGGCAGCTGAATCTGAGCAGCGGCTGCTTGGCTTTGGGCTTGACCAGACTCCTGATGACTCTCATCCTCTTTTTGGACCTGCTCTTTTGATTGCTGATGTTGCTGGTGCTGTTGTTGTTGGAGTTGCTGCTGAAGTTGCTGGTGGTGCTGTTGTTGTAGTTGTTGCTGCGGCTGTTGTTGTTGCTGCTGCTGCTGATGTTGCTGTTGCTGCTGTCGTTGTACCAACCCAGGATACAGCTGTTGGAGCATATTGTGTGCCATCAATGGTGGGGATTGTGCAGGAAACTGCTGTTGCTGCTGCTGCTGTTGCTGCATTTGCCACTGTAATTGCTGCTGGTCTTCAGCTGGTGAACTGGCAACTTGCAAAGCTGGCTGCTCACTGCCATCTTGCATCAGCGCGGTGGCCTGTTGTACAGGGTCATCCTGAGCAGCGACTGAGTTGGGGCCAGACACACCGGCAAGGGGAGTGTGACTCGGCTCGGAGGCTCTGCCAAGCGACAGTTCGCTCAGACGAGCCGGATCGTCACCACCCACGGCAGCTGGTGCTGGAGATTCTTCATTGTCGCCAGCAGAGGCCACATCAGCGCCCCCACCTTGCGGTGTGGAGACGGATTCCTGGCTGGTACCAGCACCACCACCGGTGTGTTCCTGGTCACCACCTGCTGCTGTTGCTGCTGCTGCTGCTGCTGCAGCTGGTGGTGCTGCTAATGCATTCAGGCTAGCAGCCCAGCCACCTTCCGCCGCAACCACCGGCGCAGCAGTAGACGTAGCGCCCAATGGAACGTTAGCTGTAGCGGGATTGGTGCTGGCAGACACCGCCGCGCTGCTGTCTTGGGCAGGGACAGCTGGAGCTGGAGGCAGTGCATAGCTGGGCGGCGGTATGATGGGCAGGCTGTCGTCGCCAGGCTTGTTCAGCAAATCCACCAGGCTGGGCATTTCGGGAGATGGAGCACTCCAGTTAGCATCCTGTCCTTCTTGTCCGCCGCCTTCCAACACAGCAGCCCCCGGAGCCTCGTTTGCAGCTCCTTCAGCTGCACTAGCCTGTTGATTAGTGAAGCTACCAAACAGATCATTCATCATCAGGAAACTGGACACAGACTCTGGCGGCAAACCCAGGCCAGTTGCGTTGGTCGCCTCTGCTTGTGCTCCACCACCGCCACCACTATCAAGAACAAGCTCTGTCAGGACTCCATCTAGTGTAGCGCCACCGGCAGCTCCTTGCTGCTGTTGTTGTTGCTGTTGCTGCTGCTGCCATTGGGCAAATTGACTAGCAGCATTTTCTACGGTAAGTTTTTGACCGGTGCTACCAGACTGTTCCAACACTGACAATACATTTGGCTGAGGGGCCGCAGCAGTGGCGGCAGCGGCTGCTGCTGCCGCTGCTGCTGCTACTGCTGCGCTTTTCTTGTCTTCCTCGGCCTTCTCCACCTTATCGATCTCTGCTTGCTTGACAGCCTCTGCCATCATTTCTTCTCGCTCCTCCTGTATCTTCTTCATCTTGTCTGCAATTTCAGCAGTACCATGCTTGAGGCGGTTCAGTTGACGGCCATGCTGGAAGACAAGAGAAATACGAGCCGGAGCTTTCCGATTCGGCCTCACAAGAGCTGTGTTCGCATACACATCCTTCACGCAGTATTTGACCAAGATGGAACCGTTGCCCAGGGCTAAGCCGACACCTCCACCTTCTTCAGTGCTGTCAGCCAAACTGTAGGCAGTCAAGATATGCAGCTGTTCCTCGCTTGGATCAGCAGTAGAGTTGGGTACCTCTTTACCAAGCAGAGTGCATACCTGCAAACATATACATACACACACACACACACACACACACACACACACACACACACCACACGCACGCACACATGCGCATGCGCGCACACACACACACACACACACGGGGCAGGGACAGGCAACGTCATACACATAGGCCTTGCCAAGTTTTATTCCCTGTGTTCCGAAGGCTGTTATTCATCTGGAAGACAATGAGCAAAACCAGAGGTCGTAAATACCATTGATCTACAATCCCAACCCCTATCCATTCTCCATGCCATGTTTCAGGTAGTGTATACTGCCAGGGATGGAACTTCACACCACCAGTTCAGCGTGCGGAAACCGCTCAAACACAACTGCCTACTGATTGCTGATACACAATGAAGAGCAAGGGCTGGTGCTGCTGCTGCTGCTGCTGGTGCTGGACCACCTACTACATAACTGTACTACAGTCATCACCAAAATAATCCCCTTTCCCCTTTCGCTGTACATGCTAGTGTAACACATGCACTACCACAGCACCTATACCTATCATAACTAAAGTTATACGTAGCTATACGTAGCTGCATAGTCAGTGCATGCGGTGCTGCTACACCTACAGCAGACACTGGTAAAAGCATGTGCATGCTACCGTGTGGCACCACCGTGTCCGCGTACCATACGGCTGTATCGGCATTGGCCGGATTGTTTTGGCGACGATTGTGTACTTGGTCCGTTTCATCGCAATTGTCGCTTATCTCCCACACGCCTTTTGACAGGTAAAACCCGGTCCGATCTCGATATCTAACTCACATTCGTTTGGGAGGTTGTGATGGCAAGATCAAAGGAGACCAGAAAGAAAAAAACGATCGAGACTAGCGCCAATGGCATCGCGATTCGTACGATTGTGATGGGAAAGTGGGGAACTTTTCGCTGCAGTGAATGCACACATTCACTGCAGCGAAAAGCCAAGCGCAGCTCGAAACTGTAGCAGGGGAAATCGACATCCTGACCTGGAGAGCGTGACAGTCACGGAGGCCAGCCAGCTCAGTCGCCACGTTTGAACTGCAAGTGCAACGACCTGGCATTCTTTGCAAGCCTGCAAACTGTGGGGAGATGGTGGCAAAGAAGACATTGTCCGACCTGGCAGCGGCAGTACAAGAGCCGTGGTCAGTGTATCCAGCAGAGCGTATGACAGCTGTCTGGAGAGGGATGTGTGCCTGATTCAAAAACATTGTTGAAACACACAGTGGTGACACACAGGTCACGCTGCCCACGACTGCCATACGCCAAGCGGAGAAAGCAAGAGATACTCTACGCCAGCAGCTACATGTATACACACCAGCGAATGTCAGCTCAAGTGACATTAGGTCGAGTGATACAGAGCCAGAGTCAGATAAACTAAAGCGTGAGTGCAAGAACTCGCTCCGTCGCTGTTTTCTTTTGTACATTTGTGTAACCTTTGCTTCCTTTCTTCGACTTGCTTCATCAGATTCCATCGCTGAATTATTTTTCTTGTGGCGGACAGGAATCCTGTATCATGCTTCTTCACTATGCGTATCGGAAATTTTACAGAGCGATAAAATAACTCCTGTTCTTAGTTGCGATAGATAAGCGACAATTGCGATGAAACGGACCAAGTAGGTGGTAGAAATGTCAAGTACTGAGTACTGAGTACTCAGCAAAATAGTGTAGTATGCGCTGTGCTGCTGCACCGCACGCAATGCTGTTTGACCGGGGGACGTGGCGTTGCTATCTATTGACACTACTACTAACCAGTGTGGCACCGTTGTCAAGATCTGACGGCTCTGCATGTCCATGGCAGGGAAAGTCGAATCCTGCACATACGCTGGCGAACGGTCGCTTCCTGTCGCCCTGCTGTCCAATTCTGCAGTCCGGTGCCTCGACTTCATCGGCAATCTGCAAGCACATGAATAAGCACAGGATGATTAACAGAAAACCAGGGATGTTTGCTGGCAGGGTGGCTAGGCGAATGTTATCCTGAGGCAACGCTTGAATCATTGAATTAGTTTGTCGTACAAGATTATTAATATGACGTGTACACATAGCAGTTGCTAGTGTGTTCCCTGGTGGCTTGCATGTTATAACGCTGCTGAGGTAGAAGGAACACTGCTGCGCCCAAAGCAAGCAGTAAGGTGATGTCGTATCCTGCGAGATGCGGCCCGCTTGCAGTTGACATCAGCAAGAGCTTTCAGGACCTGCTCCTCGAAGGCGGGGTGCTGGCCGACTCGCACTCCGAGGTAGCGAACACACTGGGAAGGGAACGCACTCGGAAGGGGACACACTGGGAAGGCCACACAGGACAGCGAACATTGGTGGAACTCGGTTCGTCTTCCGATGGGCGGCTAATAGTTGCGCATTTTGTCGGGGTTCAGTAGGAGGTCCAGTTCCGTGCGGTGTGATTGTAACGCTGCGAGGCTCTCTGATAGTCGGTTTTAGATCGTGTTGAAGTGTCCTATGTCTTCGGCATAGAGTATGAGTTCATGGGACGTCTGTTACATGTCATATGTAGATTGTGAAAAGAACGCGACCCAGAACAGAGCCTTGAGATACCTCCCACCCGACTACAGGTCACCAATGGACACTTCAGAACGAACCGCATGGGCAACAGCTGTCCGGAAGCGATGTTGTAAGCTCTTCCTCCAGCAACGGTAGTGCAAAGTGGTGATGGCAAGAAGACCACTGCTGCTATAACATGTACACCCCCCCCCCCCCCCACACACACACACGCACACACACCACCACCACCACTACCAAGGTATAGGTCCACAAGTTCACTAACACTAATCTCTGACCCACCTGATTTCGATAAGCTTCTGGCGCAAGGGCTTCCAATTCTGGTGCCAGGACAGTGGCCAGTCGATCCAAGTCTTCCTCCAGTCGAGTCTCGTCCTAAACCAAGCGCATCAGAATCAGAAACTCAATATCAAGAAATACCTCACCATTGCATAGCATGTCTTCATATCTCTTTCACCCTTGCCTCACCATATACATGTATATCACACTTTCTTCCCTTTACGGAAAGGTGTGGCACGATGTAGCCCAAGTCGTCTTCCCTGCAAGGTCAAAAAGGGTGAGTGTCGAAACGGGAAAACAGTTTTCCTATGACTCTTCTCACTGTTTCGTCGCTTGCCACACTATTATTATCTTTGCCTGGGGCCTGCTTCAATATGTCCAGACACAAGGCTACAGCTAAAGAAGCCCACAGAGAAATAGAACAGAATCAAAAAGAACAGGAGGCGCACTAGAGACCTTTTTCGTACTGCCCGATTTTTTCAAAACCATTCTGGGTGAGCACGGGTTTGTTTTATTAAGCGGGTATACGTCTTTCCGTTCCCTGCAAGCATTAGTTTACGTGTCATGCGAGCACACTCTCTGACTGACTATGCCGCATTTACAATAACGTCGGGATTGTAAGAACGTGTAGAAGGTGGTCTTCGCCTGGTAAGCTACGCTGTCAACATTTCAAAAACTGCAGCCAACACATGTTTTTAGAATGAAGCACACGTGCTGGATTGGTAGGTGTTCAGCTGTCCCTGTGATTTCTCTTCTCAGAATTTCTAGCCATTCCAATTTGAGATCAAGCACAGCTGAGAAACAGATACTCCCGCTGCTCTGCACTTCACGCTCCTATCTACATGTACAATCAGACATGTTTCAGCTGAATCTCTCTTAGTTCACTGCTCAACTTCACTGCTCAACTTCACAGCAATGTTGTCCCGCCACAAAGAAAACGCCCAGCTGTCCAACGATGGCTGCCCAACACCTACCGGAATAACCTTGTCCTTCTCAGGTGAGTTGAGTTTGTATTTGCGCACGATCTTGCTTCGAGCAAACTTGCAGCCATGATAATAGACGCTCCACAGGCAGCCGAAGGCATATGCACACGCCCCATCATCCGGATCGCCCATGCAATTGCACGTTTTCCTAAGGACAGGTGGAGAAAGTCACATGAAACGACTTGCAGTGCGGTCACTGGTCATTGTGCTGCAGTGCGGTCATTGTGCTGCAGTGCAGTCACTGGTCACTATGCTGCAGTGCAGTCACTGGTCATTGTGCTGCAGTGCGGTCATTGTGCTGCAGCAGCCAGTGGAACACAGGCCACACACAGGAACCCAACACAATGAAACATGTACGCCCGTCAAAAGCGGAGAAGCACGCCGATCTGCAAATGCACCGGGGGTACAGTGCACACCCACAGACTATCTCTTATAGCAATGATAACGGAAAAGATCGAAATGAAGCGGATCAAGACTTCCGCCAGATAGCTGTCCGATTCACATCACTCACAAAGCCATGTGAATCGACCTCCCAATGCACACCTGGTCTACACCTCACAGAGTACATGGGCATAAAACGGCCAAGAAAGTTCATTTACAGCTACGCACACCCTACACTTGCTGCTCCAACCAGTATAGAGTCAACATGCTGCTCTTACAGAAGCAGACAATAGAGGCACTGGTATCCTGAAGTGAAAATGGAGTTACTTCAGCAACCAGTCCTGGCACCTGAGCTCTGCAAACTGAGAGCCGTTTACCTTGAAGTACCAACACCCTCACCATAAAAGGTAATAGTTAAACACTGGATTGTGGAGTCGAAACTAGTCCAATCCCTAAATTATCTAGAACGAAGGCAGCCATTCTGCAGGCTGGCAGAATACAGTAACCAAATAGCATGCGCGTGCACACATGCACACACACGCATGTGCACACACCCACACACAGAAGCAAGTGGACTCGGTCAGAGAAAACCAGTGTCCAGTACTTACCTCTCGTTAGCAGAACACTTTCTCTTCGATGGCAGTCCATGATCAGGCAGTGTTGCTGTCAGCATGCGGTACAAGTTTGTGCAATATATTGTTGGTAGAAAGTCCCAGTGAACAATGGCAATCACAGTGAACTTCTTCTGGCATTTATGCTGCTTGTGTTGCCGATACAAGACCATGTGAGTTTCAGTTGGCACTTCTCGGCGCAGTGTCTGCAAAACCCGTTGTATACGCATACGCATACACACAGACACGGACACATACACACAATATACATACACACATCATATTGTGAGTAATGGCTGGTACGCACATGCGCGCAAAAAACACACACGCGCGTGCACACACACACACACATACACACACACACACACACACACAAACAAGGCTGGCTGAACTGTTCACCTACAGCTAGAATAGCATGAAAGGTGTTACAAAGAGGCAGCTGTGAGTGCAGCCTCTGTACCTAAGGCTATGTGGTAAAGCTTGGCTACACAAAGCAGCACAACGGTGGGCAAGATGGAACAGTCACAACTCCGAGATTGCTCATGCGCTTAGCAATGACAAGGTGGCAAGTACAGGGATGCTGACCATACCAAGATGCTTGTACATCCTGGTGACTCTGGGTGCCGGGAGAAGATTTCACTGCTCATATGGATGTGTGAAATTGTGCTATGAACATTCGTGGAAAACTTATATATTCTGGCGAAACGTGGTATTCAAGCGGAATGACAATATTGCAGGTAGGGTACGTAAACTACTGCATATCCCGCTCCTTCTCTTGCTCTTCTCACTTTATTCCTGCTTCTACTAGTCAACAGTAGCAGTACCAATGTCTCCACAAACTCACCCAGTTGTGCTTCGGGCATCCGTCCGACCTCGTACCCCGCCCTGTGAACTTGAGCTGAAGAAGATCACAGAGAGTGCACGTACACATACTCGGCATTAGACGATGTCAAAATCAGTACCTGGATGACAGTGCGATACATGTATCCGCCTGCAAGTGTAGCTGTGATGGTACTGTGATGCTGTCACTTCCTTGTCATCAAGAATCATCCAATTAAGCTCGGCTATACAAAAGCGGGGCTTTTCGCCACAGACATGCAGGTAATGAAGTATGTACCAACAAGAGTGGTGCAGATCACAACTAATAGAAAGGATAGCACACGCCACACGGCTAATGCTGATTGAAACCTTCACCCAGTCAGTTTTCGTACGCATTCCAAGACCAGGAAAGCTCGGAGAATATAAGGAAAGGTATGTGTAGAGTGGCATGCATGTAGGCACCAGGAGGACCATGCCTAAAACTAATAATTATGAGCCCCGGCCAGCGAAAACCAGCACTTGTGTACTTGATATCAATCATCAAAATGTGACGTCAAAGTTTGGGACGCGCAGTGAGCTGGCTTTTGAAGATTCTTTTTCGATCGAGTGGGTGTCTTTGTTGTCAAAGGAGTTTCAAGTGTCTTCAAATTTCTCTGGCCAATTGATTTTAGCGCTAGGTGAGAGCTCGTCACACGGAGGTTGAGTTTAGACACAGCGATGGCGACAGGTGTCGCGACAAAGACTTAGGAGTTAGTTGTCTGCGTGAGACTCCCTGTACGAAGCGGCGCTGAAAGTTAGTTCGCGATCGGAATTATTTCTTTGGTGGCGATCTCGCTGAGTTTGTCCAGCAGTGGCGAGTCTCATATGCATAGCAACGAAGAGCCCTCATAAAATCGACACTGGATACTGGTGGCGACGATAGTCAGTGCTGGAGTAATAGCGACTGCGAGGAGAAGCTGAATGTCGACCCGCTGAGCGATCCGTATTTCTACATCGACAACAATGATGTTGCAGACACTGATGGAGGGCTTCTCACGGCGCAAATCTGAGCGTAGTATTATCAGTACTCTACCTTGCCAGACGACGCCAAGCTGGCTGCTGCCTGTGGTGAGAAAGGGGATTCCTAAAAACTCAAACCGGCTGAACGCTTTGGGGCAACATCTTCACGTGCTACAAAACGCGAGTATTCGCTCATATCAATGAAATACAATTATGCTGAAATCATGGTCTGAGTGAAAGTGTGCAAGGGAGTGGATGTCAGTGGTATTGGTCAGTACATCTATCAGTATGGCAAGCTTTGGGACAATGCTCAAACTGCCGGCGCAGAGGTCCCTGAACACAATTTGGAAGGCCAGCCACCAATCATCGTTTTGCACTCTGGTGTTGTAAAGAAGGCAGTGATGTATACGGAATATCGTCACACTTCTGAACTACTCATGCCTGCAGCACCAAGAGGGCAAGCCTGACTTGCATTCTATTTACTTACATGTACCTGTTCCACATCACAATCAGAAACTGTAGGATCAACTTGCATGGAGTCACTAGGCATGGATGCTGCACCAACTGTACCGAATCTTGACCTGTGTGACTTCAAACTCTATTTTTCATGCTTTCGCTTATCAGATTGTCACCAAACTTGATAACTTGAATGATTAATAGTGTAGAAACAATTTCGAGGGAAAAAATAATTTTTGAAAAAATTACACATGTTCAGGTTTCTGCTGGCTGGGGGCTCACTTACTTCAACCATGCGTATGCCGGAAGCAGGAACGTTGTACCTACAGCAGCAAACAAAAGAAGCTTATGAGGAGTACTGGACACAATAACAGGTGTGTGTACACTGGCGCAGAACGCACCATGGAATGATAGCAATCAATCTTGAAAACATTCGCTTAGAACACTCTGCAGAGTCCGCACAGCACCGACCGTCGCTAATAAGTATCTTTAGCATAAAAGCAGTGCTCCTTTGCATCCAAGAGCTCCTCCGATACAAACCATATGCTCACAAATACACTGATCTGCAAACTTGCAATATTGGGCCCGTCTTTCAGAACTAAGAAGTGCCTCTGAGCAAACTAACTACCTACCATTTCTGCACGACTTCAAGAAGCTGCTGAGCATCAGCTGCAGCGCCGAAATGAGTGTAGTAATGGCCATCTACATCAACAGACGCTGCACACATGGTACACGGGAAGAACAGCAAAGCAGAACAACATAATCGTTGTCAGAGTAGGAAGTTCTAAGAACTGAATGGTGTCCGTACATGCGAAGCACAAACACAAGATATGTAGCCACAACTGACATGTGTATGTGGTTTGTGCATGCTCTACTTTGTGACGCGCATTCCTGCTTTCACAAAAAAAATACACCACTTCGAGTAGCATTATGTCGTAGGACATGAACGAGAACTAATTACTTCACCCCACCTGCGACAGGGACGAAGAGAAAGAACAGTATGACGTCATGTATCTGTGCTTTTTTACCTGTGCAGCCACAGGGTGGAGCTACTGATGGTGCTGCGTTGGCACCACTGGATCTTTTAGGCTTCTTCGACCGGGTCAACTGGTTCAGTTTGGCAATGACGTCCGCATCCGCCTGAACATAAACACAGAGAAACAAAACTAGGTTAGGGGCCATCCGGCATTGTCGGTAATTTTAAAAATATTTCAAGGAGTGAAAGGTTTAGTTATCACCTTCCTCCACCTCCCTGAACGGAAAATATAATGACTTGGCTGCTAGAATGGATTGATGTTTCAACTATTAACATTTTTTCTAAACGAAACTCTTCGCAACCCACCCACAAACGAATTTTTTCGTTTCATGTAAATGATCGATAATAATTACAATTATAGCCGTGGGCAGCTCCTTATCCGAGAGAAAAGACAAGACCAGGTTTGTGGGCGTTCACATCATTATCAATGCTGCACCTTGATTCATTACACATGCGGTACACATAAAAGACAGTCATCGATGGCCGAGCAAGTGAACGTGTGTACATTCTCCCACGAAATACCTGTACTACTTGTACTCGAAGTAGGTCTATCACAAATCTGGTAGCAATGGTTAAGTATGGATTATCCCATGAGTCCGAGGGGTATATCGCCGAATATTTTCCCGAGTACCGCAGGTACGGAGGGAAATATGAGAGATACGGTATACCCCGACTACGAATGGGATACTGCATTTATCCCAGGTCAGGTCAAACTTTTCCCACAATCTGGAGTATGAACTGTGCTAATCGTATGGCATGGATGGTTGTACCGGTACATGTACTGTGGTCTGGACGTCCTAGACAAGTATCTTGAAGTAAGGTAAGAGGAGGAGGAAGACATCACTCAGCTGTCATATGAAGGAAACGTCGGGCAAGATCAGAAGGAGCTTTCTCCTTTGATCCATACATCTTACAGACGATTTTCTTCCTTATACATTTAGTTACAGTTTATTGAGTTCAAGTAGATAAATGCATCTTGTGTTTTGCAGTGGTATGTTGAATTGTGCGCTCGTCAGCTCGTGGAACAGACGTTACATGTAGCTGAATCTGTGGAGCTTTGGAGCTGCTGTTGAACCAAACTACGGTGACTAGTTTAGACTAGAGATAGGAGTAAGTGCGATTAATGGGTGCTGTAATGCTTTACACATGCAGCTGAGAATTCAAACTCACCTTTTAGGTTTTAGGTGCATTTTGAAGTGCATTAACCTTACAAAGTAGTTGTCAGTTACAAAGGAAACTGCCGGTCTGGTGATCTATGCCATTTCGAAATACATTGTTTATTCGTTCTAACGTTAGATAAACGGCCGGTCTGGTGATCTATGCCATTTCGAAATACATTGTTTATTCGTTCTAACGTTAGATGCTCTGCAGCTTCCTAGTATTCTTGCCACATTGTAATGATGATGCCAGTCATTCTTCTTTCCCATCGTGGGCCTTTCGTGCATCGACTTTGGTGTTAGGACAATAAACTGAATAATAACTTCATGTATTGACAGTACTATTGCATTGCAAGCACACGTAAGTATTCTTGTTCTGTATTGTGCAAAGACATGTGGTGTGTGTGTGGGGGGGGGGGGGGTGCGTGCGTGGATCCCATGTGTTCTACGTGCGCTGGAGTACTGCCACCGTACCAGGCATTGCCTACGTTGGATTGACGACGGTAGTTAGTACTCCTTTCGTTTTGCTTTCATTGTTCTTTTTTCTCCTTCTTTTTCTCAGTTTTCCCCACCATGCTGGTTAAAATCGCCCACATTACATGTTTATTGGCACTATGTCATCGTGATTGTGGAATAATAATAATAAAAATAATAATTGCCTTTGCGGCAGGGTCTGGTGCAGTGGCAGTGCACCACCGTACGTAGAACGCCTGGGGTCAAAGGTGGTACGAATGTGTACGAATGTATATTCCCGGAACTCCAGGGAATATCGTGCTATATTCCCCGGAAATAACGGCTGCTGATTGGCTGGATCCATGGTTTCCTACCGTACTATGGGATAAGACAGTCAACACGCAAGCCCCTCCGTAAAATTCCATCCTTCCCCTACACTGACAATTTGTTCCTGCGGCTTGCCTGCAAATTTAACCTGCAACCCTAAATACAGCAGCAGCAGCAGCAGCAAAAAGAACACAAAGGAGCAGAAAGCTAACGAGATTGTTCTCACCTTTTTGCCCTTCAAAACTCTTTTCTCTGCCTTCATCAGGACTCGGTTTGTTGCCACACTCATGCCTGGTGGACGCTTAGTCCCCTGTGCCGCGGCCGCGCCCGCCACTGACGTCGCCACAGTTGTTTTCGCATTGCATGATGATGATGCTGCAGCGGCGGCGGCTGCTGTTGGTGAAGACGCTGTTGCCGCCGCAGCAGCAGCTGCAGCAGGAGGTGCAGTGGTCGCTGTTGGGGCAGGCAGCGCTGCATAAGCTGCCACTGCCGCAGCAGGAGGTGCCTGCGGAGGCTCGGCTGGTGGAGCGCTTGGCGCAGGGGCCTTAGTGCCATTAGTAGCTTCAGCTGGCATTTCCGAGTTCTGACCTTGTTGTAATGCGGCCAGCACTGCAGCAACATTCTCTGGACTTAATGACAGAGTATTTGTTGCTTGACTGGCCGCAGACAACATAGCAGCTAATTCGAACGTGCTGAGTGTGACCGAGCCTGAAGCTGGAGCATTAGTGACATCTTGGCTAGTGTCGCCACCAATGTTGGGTTGACCAGGCGGCATTGGCGGTGGGAGGTAACTGTTGAGGAACGGGAAAGCAGGCGGTGCAGCTGCTGCAGCCGCCATGGCCGCCACCATGCTCTCATTGTCGTTAGCAGAAGCTGCTGCACTTGGGTTGTTAGCAGTGCTGTCAGGCACAGCGGCATTTGAAATTGAGGCAGCACCAGCAGCTGCATAGGCCGCAGGAAAGCCAACACCAGCGGCTGAAGCTGCCAATTGCCAAGGCGCCATCGGGGGGAACAGAACACTCTGGCCTGCTCCTTGCATGACGCCATTGCCATTACTGGCTCCTTGTATCGTAGCAGTCGGCACTGTTGATGCCGCTGCAGTGGGGACTGGTGCGGCTTGTGCTGCTGCAACTGCTGCTGCGGCGGCTGGCGCAGCTTGTGCAGCTGCCGATGACAATGAGGGCACAGGGGCAGTAACTGTGGCGGGGGCTGGCTGGTCTTGTAGATTCAAAGGGGCTGAAGTGGCAGTAGATGATGCCGGCCCATGGTATAGCTTCTTAGCGCTGGGCTCGCTAGATTCTCTACTTTTTTCTGAAGGTGAAGCCGTTTGTTCACCGCTGAATGCAGACTGCAAGTAAGCACATTCGCGCACGCACGCACACACACACATACACACAACACCCATCAAATGACAATCTTGCACACGCATGGGACAAATACTCAAAGTTGTGTACATCATCGAGAGTTGTTCCGTGCCCATGCACGAATATGTGTGTTACCAGTCAAGGCTGGGATGACGCAAGGCTTCTAAAAAAACATGTTTCTAAGCACGGGAATGTTTCTCCCACAGAGCCGCATTCACAAAAGTTGGCCCCTCTTTTGAAATATACCGTGGAAGTCACTTGATCGTATTTCTTGCCTCTATTTTGGAAACAAAACCTGCAATAGATTGTATTCTGGTGATTGTATGCAGGTGTGAATGCAACTCACGCCTTTCACCAGGGTGCAATCAAAGGAATGCAGAGTGGGAACATGAGTAGATCCAACTGCAAAATTGTCTACCCAATCCCACGAGTGGTACGGCAAATATGAAGACAAGCGAGTTGACTCGTCATCTCAATCCTCTAGATGCGTGTGAACAGAAAATGACCCGTATGTGCTGTGTGTGTGTGGGGGGGGGGGGGGGGGAGGGGGTACCGCTAGCGTTTTACTACGTTTTGGACATTCATGATAAAATGGACCAATTCTGGGATACACGTGTGACGTGCAACACAACACTTTTTGCCACATCTAGAAGTTCATGATCAAACAACATCACCAGCCGCATCACGTGATCATAGGTCCTTTCCAAGGGGCGGAGATTTTTTTACTAATTATAGTTAACTACAAATCATAAGGAAGACGATACAGAGGACATTGAAGGCCTGTAAATAGAGGAGTGGTGATGGGGTGCGAAGTGCTCAGCCAACAGGTGTCTCGGTTGCCGGAGAAGCATCCATTTCTCGCAGCCGCCCATTTCGTTTCATAGACGTGTTAGCTCCCGGCTAAACGCACCTCTCCAGTCTCTCCGGAGGCGTGGGTTCGAATCCCACCGCTGCCACCAGTGTTAGCTCCCTGCTAAACGCAGTCCGCTCACACTTTCAGATCACAGGGTTTTGTAGTATTGACTAATTATGCGGAAGAAGTATTTAGACAAGAGAGTAGACAAGAGTGAGAAGAATAGACATGAAGACTAGAACTAGAGAACCACTGGAGCATGCGCTCTTCTATACTTGATGGTATCTCATTGCTATGGTGAAGGAGCGGGAAAATACGAATAGTGAGTATTGTACTGTCTTAGCATAAACACACCTATTACACACGCATATGACGGGTTGTAACTTGTTAGCACCACACACTGCTAATAGTATATTTTGAGTTGCTTGGCCAGCAATCAGGAGGTTCAGTGCACAGGAATAACACGCGGTCCTGTTAGATCTCCTCTCCCCCCCCCCCCCCCCCATGACACTATGAGTATGACTTGTCAGTCACCAGTGCACACCTACATACATCTGAGTTAGTAGGGCCTAGGGTGGTCCGAACTGGGCCAGCAGGGTGGTCAGTACACCACGGCATTACTAACACTGCTACTGCTACTAGTCCTCAGTACTCATGCCATGGTACTGGGACTGAGCCCAGGCTGAATGCATGGCAGAGATTGCAGACTGAGCCCCTGAATGCATGGCAGAGATTGCAGACAATCATGACCTGTCACAGGTAGGCACAATGTGACACCAGCACTGAAGGCTGCCCAATGATGGTAATGCGCAACCTTTTCACAGCAACAATGCCTTGTCAACTGTGACAGACCACAACAGTCCTCAGGCTATGTCACTGGCAATGATAATGTCATGATGGCATGCCTGGAGGCTTTCCAAGGCATATCTCCCTAGCATGATAGCTCCACAGCCCATGCACAGTGCACTCTCACTCAGGACCAGGTGTCCAATGGGCATGGTTCGCCCCCTCCCTTCTCCACCTACCACTGTGACCACTGTGACCACTGTGATGCACTACACTAAGTCTTACTGAGCTACAATGTAGTTGGGCCCGTAATAAATTTAATTGCTACCAGTAGTTTCTAATGTGATGTCATGTGGTATTGCAGTTACCACTGACGCAGTCTGCTTGAGCACAGTGAACTGTGAGCGCATCTGTAATGGCTCAACTGTGCTGTAAGGCGCATCAGCCTGATGACCTGATCTATCGCAAATTGACATTTGCAAAAGACACACTGAAATTTATCATACAGGAATCAGGGCACTAAGTATTCAGCAGTCCAGCCAGTGACTTGTCTCCTTGCCACCTATCCCTCGTGTCAGCCAGCCACTGAGATTCTACTAGCAATGCACTGGCACTGGCATTAGAAAAGAAAGATGCGCTGTCTGCAGCACTACTACTGGCATCATTATGAGCATCCATGTCAAGTCCACCGTACCGTGGCTGTGAAAGACCTCTGCAATGTAACTGTCTACAGGTATTGCACCTCATGCTCATTGTAGGCAGTGTATGGCAACCTTTAAATATCACTGCCTACACGGATGGAAAGGTGAGATCTACCATTCCGGTCACAGATATTCTAGCGAAGAAAGGACACAAACAATTCTTAAAAGAATCGCAACGAACAGAACCAGCTGAATTGATATGGCGCGATGGCCTTTACAAATAAATTAATGCTACTCAGTACATGCAGTATAATGTCGCCACTCACAACCCCTCACCCAGGTTGCAACAGCATGGTCTTTGTGACCAGTACATCATTCACAAGTCAACAACAACCAGCGAAATACATGAACGGACTGATGGTGGCTATTACCAAGTACATGTACATGGCTACAGGTGTCAGGCTTTGGAAGGGCACCAAACTGTTGTACACTTCTGCCAGTACATGCGAATACGCCATTAGTCCAAACAACGTCATCATTTTATTTCAAAATACAAGTTGTACTTACAAGTAGTACGAGTCACATTCCCTCCCCCCCCCCCCCCCCCCCCCCCCTATTCATCTTCAAGTACTGTATAATCATGTAATTTTAGGTGAATTTAAATTTCGGTATCAGGGACCCGCCAGGTTTCAGGTGTAATGTAGAATTAGGTGACCAACCTACCCTTCGCATACAGTGCATACTCTAGTGCCTTTTAGGTGTAATCTAAACTTAGGTGCCTGAATTCTCTACCGAAATTACCGAAATTAAAATTACACCGAAAATAACGTGTTATACAGTATTAGCTTGTGAATAAATACATGTACATGTATGTCAAAGTACGTACTCCGGAGTATGTACATGCATACATTTCTTTAGTTGAATTCGCAAGTACACAAGTACCAGCCGCACTCCCCTTGAGAGATCCCCCCCCCCCCCCCCACTGCATCTTTGATTTTTGTGGAAACATGTCCCTTGGGCATAGCCCTCCAGTATGGCATAGGATTTAACTTCTTAGCTCCGTTTGCCCTACAGTAAGATCAGGGGCTCAAGGCGCAGCCTAGCATTGCTTTGGTCGTATTCTGCACCGAAAAACGCAGGGGCTCAATGCGCAACCTAGTATGTTCTAAAAAATTTCAAACGTTAGTCGTTTTGATTGTATTCCGCGATCATGGAGAGCATCATACACTGATGCGATCACGCCACGTGTAAAACATGCAGAAAACAGTACATTCGTTCTCCAATCTGAAAATCTAGCATGGATTGTTCATAATTGTGCCATTTTCAAGCCTAAGTGTTCTTGGCACGACCCACCCAATCTTGCTGTAGTGCACTGATGTCACTTCACACTTATTACTAATATCATGGCATTTATTAATAATACTAGCCAGAACACAGTCTGAGTGTGACTGAGTCTGCGCTGCAATGATTATGTGGTAGTACTGGTACCATGCACTGCAAAGGAGACCCTGCGCTGCAGACAGTTTACTAAACAGTACTGTACAATCATGTATCTACAAGACTTACAGGCAAGGCTCTAGCCTCTACACTAGCACTACAGACAGTACTAGTCACATGATTTTAGATAGAGCTAGCCCACGTGTGCACAGTACAGTTGGGCCAGAATGAGATCATGCAGAGTGAGTTAGCAGAGCTCCCACACACTGACCACACGTCAGCCTTTTACAAACTCATACATACTAGTAGTACAGTCGACCTACCCTTATAACGATAACCTCTATAACGATATTACCCTTATAACGATATTTTTCTGCCAAACCAAATCACTCCATAGACTTTTGTATACAATGCCCTACCCTTATAACAATATTGCTATAACGATATTACCCCTATAACGATATAAAATGGGCTGACCAATCAACATTTTTCATTTTATAACAATATCTAGCAGGGAAGATGTAGAGCACACTATCCAGGTAGGGCAAGCTTCACTTGATATGTCGCTGGGACATGACGAAATGCAATGGGGGCACCAGTGGGCACCTTGCTGTGTACATAATGTGCATGTACATCAGTTTTTTATGCCATGAAGAGTGTAAAAAATGAACAAAATCCATGCATTATGACGTATGTGTATGAAGTGAACCAGTTACCCCTATAACAATATTACCCTTATAACAATATTTCTTGGTCTGACGCAAATATCGTTATAAGGGTAGGTCGACTGCTGTAGTAGTACTGGAACAGTGGAAGTACATGACTGTACCAGTGACTGTGTGTGTGTGTAGGATGCAGGGTGCTGACTAACTGTGAAACTACAAGTACAAAAATAATAATAATTAATTACTACAATCATTGTTGGATGACATCTAGTACAGTGTCTACTGCCATTGAGATCAAGGTGAGAATGAGATGCATATCTGTCATCCAATCATAGCTTATGACTATGAGTATGACCATGATGACAGAGGATGGGAAGGACTGCACTATGCATACTAATATACATGGGGCATGTATCATACACGAATGACTCATGACTATGTTCTTGGAATGGCACTGACTGTCACCTAAACAAGAGTAAACCCGTTCCACACTGGACGACAGACTGTGCATTTACTAGTACAAGACATAGTACATAGTAGTCGTATGCTGATCGTACATACCAGTAGTAGTAGTAGTCATTGGTGGTTGCCCAGTACTAGTACTCAGTAGTACTACTACTACAGTACTACTACTAGTCTGAGTAGTCCAATCAACGTCATTGCGTGTTTTTAGTCAGGGAGCTCAAGTGTGCGGAACACCGAACAGGCCTCAAGCTCGCGCACATCGTCACGATTGTATCATGATAATCAGCAGCCTGCATGCACTGGCACTACCGCGCCTAGCGCCTGACATAAAGCCACAAGATCCTGCCCGCTCCGCACTGGAAAACCGCGTTCGCCGTAAGCAAGTAATCGGCTGGAACGGGCGATGCGCGCGACCCTTCACTATGCAGCCAGCTCTGCACGACCAGTGGCAGTACAAGGCCCACCAGACACTCGGCCCCACTCAGAACGACGCGACGAAGATCAGCGAGTGCACCAGTACCATGAGTACAGTCACTGCGCTTCTGCGGACAAGCATCACACTCCACCGGTACCAACCGCATTATGCAGCATTACATTATCAAACAAAGCCTCACAGATACAGCTAGCGGTGGAACGCGAGAATCGAACGAAACACTCGACACCTACCCTTCACGTAGATACGGGCCGGGGCGAGCAAGCGGCTCCAGGCCGAGTTTCAGCTACCTACGCGGGGGCCCCTGCTACATCACGTAGACCTATACGCGCTACAAGTACATCTATGATCTAGGACTAGGGACATACTTGCACCACCTCCGCTACTCGCCCGAGTTCTGGACAAAAGCACAAGCGGCTACTAGCTAGCCTACAACAATGAAACCATCTACCGAACCGTCACTCGCGTCAGATCGATCGACAAACCGCGCGCACTTCGCAGAAGCCAACGACGCCAAAGAACTGCATGACTGTACACGTGAAGCGGCGAAAGACGCAGGGTGCGCACACGTACGTACACAAGGTTTCGATCGGCCTCCGCGATTTCAGTACAGAGGGCATGTTGGCATTGTTGCAGGCGGGCAATGATACGAGCACATCATACATGTACGAGATACGAACAGCTACTGAGCCAGTGTACGGTTGCGTCCCCTAAACAATGGTACTTGTACTTATCGGGCCGTATCAAAATGGAAGCGCTTGCGCGCGGCCAGCTGCTGTCGAATCTTACTTGCTGCAGACAGACTGCACCGACGCAGGCCAAGCCATCATCGCTTCGACGCACGCTGCAGCTCAGGGCATGTGCCTGCTGCTCCAGTAACAGCCTTACCAGGGCTGGCCGTGCTTTAGCGAACCTCCGCCAGCAGCACCTCTACCAGCAGCAGCGCCGTGTTTAGCTAGATCTACATGTTGGTGCCGATCAAAGGCGAGGTGACGCTCACGTTCACCGCGCTGCTGCAACTGCAGGCTGCCTCCACCGTACGGTAATATAAAACGCCAACGACGATCCACGATCGCACGACAATGAGATGGCAAAGGCGAGCAGAGACCACCGCCACCTCAGTACAACTAGTGGAATTGATAAAGAAAAAGAGAATGCACTAAACTTACCCGTACCCTTCGAAGATTGTTGCATTTGCGCTGCTTGCACACTTGCTTGAACTTAGTCTTGTTTTCGCAATTGATGCAATGTCCACAGTCAGCCGTGATCTTGCATGGTTCGCATTGGCCGCACTTCTGTCGCCTCTTCTTGTTACTGGGGGTCGAATCCTCGCCAGTATTAGATGCGTTGCTTGCTGGAGGTTTCGACAGGGTGGCTGCGGGAAGCGATGAAGCCTGCGTCGATCCAGGAACTGTGCCTATCTCGCCTGCAAACATGGTGGATGCAGCCGATGTGCCAACACCAGCAGCACTGTACGCGCCGCCGCTCCCTGCTAGTACTGGCTGGTGCGCAGAGCCCGCTGTAAGAGCTAATACATCCTGATGAGCAGGTGCTGCTGTACCGGGCTGCTGCTGCTGATTGGTAGGAGCTACTGAAGCAGGAGCGCCTTTAGTAAGACCTTGGATTCCCTCCATGATCAAGTTTTCGCGAGCTGTAGTCAGATGTGGTAGATAACTTGATGCTTTAGCTTCTCACAGTCGTCGCTCCTCACCGTTATGCACGCACATTCAAACAACAAGCGGATAATATCCCGTTCATGAACAGAATAATATCTAGATACAGGCGAGCGCGAAGGCTTTACCTACAATCCAACACAGACTGACATCTCAACAACAAACTTTTTTCAGTCCTTTTTCTTCTTGTGCATGTCACTGCACACTGTCCTGGCGCAGTAGTCGTCTATGTACACAAAATCATCGTGACGTCAGTGCAGCGCAGACTTTTTGCCACGATGCGTAGACTAGACCTAGGCTATGGCTGCACACGTATGTGCACTCGTTGGCCAGGCTTTCATTGGCTTCTGAAGCCAGCACCACTAACAATCGACGAATCAGCGACAGGTGACCATGACCACTTGAAGCCCACACTTCAAAAGTTCAAGATCGAAACTAACGCGAAGTGACATAAACGCACACAGCCTGGCATGCATGCAGTGCAAGATCAATGACAATCAAGATGTACAGTCATTCGTCATGCGCAGAGTCAGTACAGTCATGCATGTACATGTACATGACTGCCATTGACTGGTATCAAGAGTACAGTCATAACCCCAGGGGTTATGACTTATGACTGTACTCTTGCTACTAGTACTAGTAGTAGATCTACTACTTAGTAGTAGTACTAGTACTAGTAGTAGTAGCAGTAGGTACTACATGTAGTAGTAGATCTACTACTACTTGACACAATCTTTATTAGGAAACTTGAAATGGAGATGTGAAACACAAATACAGCCATGTAGATGGAGCAGCATGCAATGCAATACAATGTCCAAAAACTCAAGAATTCATTATCATGGGACAATGTTGGGCAAATGTCTGTGAGGTACTATCACGCTCAGGCTGCCCGCAACCTGCACATCTACTACTACTACTACTACTACTACTACTACTACTACTACTACTACTACTACTACTACTACTACTACTACTACTACTACTACTACTACTACTACTACTACTACTACTACTACTACTACTACTACTACTACTACTACTACTACTACTACTACTACTACTACTACTACTACTACTACTACTACTACTACTACTACTACTACTACTACTACTACTACTACTACTACTACTACTACTACTACTACTACTACTACTACTACTACTACTACTACTACTACTACTACTACTACTACTACTACTACTACTACTACTACTACTACTATTATTATTATTATTATTATCAAATTTGGGCTACTACTACTACTACTACTACTACTACTACTACTACTACTACTACTACTACTACTACTACTACTACTACTACTACTACTACTACTACTACTACTACTACTACTACTACTACTACTACTACTACTACTACTACTACTACTACTACTACTACTACTACTACTACTACTACTACTACTACTACTACTACTACTACTACTACTACTACTACTACTACTACTACTACTACTACTACTACTACTACTACTACTACTACTACTACTACTACTACTACTACTACTACTACTACTACTACTACTACTACTACTACTACTACTACTACTACTACTACTACTACTACTACTACTACTACTACTACTACTACTACTACTACTACTACTACTACTACTACTACTACTACTACTACTACTACTACTACTACTACTACTACTACTACTACTACTACTACTACTACTACTACTACTACTACTACTACTACTACTACTACTACTACTACTACTACTACTACTACTACTACTACTACTACTACTACTACTACTACTACTACTACTACTACTACTACTACTACTACTACTACTACTACTACTACTACTACTACTACTACTACTACTACTACTACTACTACTACTACTACTACTACTACTACTACTACTACTACTACTACTACTACTACTACTACTACTACTACTACTACTACTACTACTACTACTACTACTACTACTACTACTACTACTACTACTACTACTACTACTACTACTACTACTACTACTACTACTACTACTACTACTACTACTACTACTACTACTACTACTACTACTACTACTACTACTACTACTACTACTACTACTACTACTACTACTACTACTACTACTACTACTACTACTACTACTACTACTACTACTACTACTACTACTACTACTACTACTACTACTACTACTACTACTACTACTACTACTACTACTACTACTACTACTACTACTACTACTACTACTACTACTACTACTACTACTACTACTACTACTACTACTACTACTACTACTACTACTACTACTACTACTACTACTACTACTACTACTACTACTACTACTACTACTACTACTACTACTACTACTACTACTACTACTACTACTACTACTACTACTACTACTACTACTACTACTACTACTACTACTACTACTACTACTACTACTACTACTACTACTACTACTACTACTACTACTACTACTACTACTACTACTACTACTACTACTACTACTACTACTACTACTACTACTACTACTACTACTACTACTACTACTACTACTACTACTACTACTACTACTACTACTACTACTACTACTACTACTACTACTACTACTACTACTACTACTACTACTACTACTACTACTACTACTACTACTACTACTACTACTACTACTACTACTACTACTACTACTACTACTACTACTACTACTACTACTACTACTACTACTACTACTACTACTACTACTACTACTACTACTACTACTACTACTACTACTACTACTACTACTACTACTACTACTACTACTACTACTACTACTACTACTACTACTACTACTACTACTACTACTACTACTACTACTACTACTACTACTACTACTACTACTACTACTACTACTACTACTACTACTACTACTACTACTACTACTACTACTACTACTACTACTACTACTACTACTACTACTACTACTACTACTACTACTACTACTACTACTACTACTACTACTACTACTACTACTACTACTACTACTACTACTACTACTACTACTACTACTACTACTACTACTACTACTACTACTACTACTACTACTACTACTACTACTACTACTACTACTACTACTACTACTACTACTACTACTACTACTACTACTACTACTACTACTACTACTACTACTACTACTACTACTACTACTACTACTACTACTACTACTACTACTACTACTACTACTACTACTACTACTACTACTACTACTACTACTACTACTACTACTACTACTACTACTACTACTACTACTACTACTACTACTACTACTACTACTACTACTACTACTACTACTACTACTACTACTACTACTACTACTACTACTACTACTACTACTACTACTACTACTACTACTACTACTACTACTACTACTACTACTACTACTACTACTACTACTACTACTACTACTACTACTACTACTACTACTACTACTACTACTACTACTACTACTACTACTACTACTACTACTACTACTACTACTACTACTACTACTACTACTACTACTACTACTACTACTACTACTACTACTACTACTACTACTACTACTACTACTACTACTACTACTACTACTACTACTACTACTACTACTACTACTACTACTACTACTACTACTACTACTACTACTACTACTACTACTACTACTACTACTACTACTACTACTACTACTACTACTACTACTACTACTACTACTACTACTACTACTACTACTACTACTACTACTACTACTACTACTACTACTACTACTACTACTACTACTACTACTACTACTACTACTACTACTACTACTACTACTACTACTACTACTACTACTACTACTACTACTACTACTACTACTACTACTACTACTACTACTACTACTACTACTACTACTACTACTACTACTACTACTACTACTACTACTACTACTACTACTACTACTACTACTACTACTACTACTACTACTACTACTACTACTACTACTACTACTACTACTACTACTACTACTACTACTACTACTACTACTACTACTACTACTACTACTACTACTACTACTACTACTACTACTACTACTACTACTACTACTACTACTACTACTACTACTACTACTACTACTACTACTACTACTACTACTACTACTACTACTACTACTACTACTACTACTACTACTACTACTACTACTACTACTACTACTACTACTACTACTACTACTACTACTACTACTACTACTACTACTACTACTACTACTACTACTACTACTACTACTACTACTACTACTACTACTACTACTACTACTACTACTACTACTACTACTACTACTACTACTACTACTACTACTACTACTACTACTACTACTACTACTACTACTACTACTACTACTACTACTACTACTACTACTACTACTACTACTACTACTACTACTACTACTACTACTACTACTACTACTACTACTACTACTACTACTACTACTACTACTACTACTACTACTACTACTACTACTACTACTACTACTACTACTACTACTACTACTACTACTACTACTACTACTACTACTACTACTACTACTACTACTACTACTACTACTACTACTACTACTACTACTACTACTACTACTACTACTACTACTACTACTACTACTACTACTACTACTACTACTACTACTACTACTACTACTACTACTACTACTACTACTACTACTACTACTACTACTACTACTACTACTACTACTACTACTACTACTACTACTACTACTACTACTACTACTACTACTACTACTACTACTACTACTACTACTACTACTACTACTACTACTACTACTACTACTACTACTACTACTACTACTACTACTACTACTACTACTACTACTACTACTACTACTACTACTACTACTACTACTACTACTACTACTACTACTACTACTACTACTACTACTACTACTACTACTACTACTACTACTACTACTACTACTACTACTACTACTACTACTACTACTACTACTACTACTACTACTACTACTACTACTACTACTACTACTACTACTACTACTACTACTACTACTACTACTACTACTACTACTACTACTACTACTACTACTACTACTACTACTACTACTACTACTACTACTACTACTACTACTACTACTACTACTACTACTACTACTACTACTACTACTACTACTACTACTACTACTACTACTACTACTACTACTACTACTACTACTACTACTACTACTACTACTACTACTACTACTACTACTA